TGGGTAAAACCGAAGTTTGTTTAAAACTGAAATTATGAACAAACAAAACAAAATAACAAAGTAAACAAAGTTTGTTTATATACTACAAATTTTCTAGTATGATCCCTGTGACACTTCATTTGATGTTTTCACAGGGATGAGGTAAAGTCGATAGATTTTTGAAGCAAAGGTTCTCTCTTATACAGCCTTGCATATTATTACGGATTTAAAAAACATAACAATTGAGTTTTTAAAATAAAGGACTCCCATGAATTGTGTATAAATAATATTTATTTTATTTCTGATATCCGATCCGGTATTTCTATGGAATTAGTACAGGTGCCGAAGAAATAAATTAAATGTAAATTCAGTCTTTGTTTATGATTTAATAACAATCGGCAACCAAATTAGCGTGATTTACAGGGAATCTATTGTCATCAGTCCGTAGACAACATAAATTAATGCTTTCTGTACAAAAATGAAACTCGTAGCCATTGAAATAACAAAGTAATAACGTTAAGTCCGTCTCCTGTGAAATTTGGTTTGGTGCAGATACGCGCCTTTTACCAATACTACTGACGCGGATTTGCACTATCCACGACGTTATATATTTATTTAATAAATTATCGAAAACTTTTTATCGTTATACCTCATCTGTAGCAAATGCAGTCTAATGAAGTAACCTACAAAGCTTGTCGTAAATTTAAATTCATTTTTGAAAAAAAATGTTTCTCTGGGCATTTGTCACTAATTTGGTGTTATTTTTACTTTAATGTTATGTATTTGCTTAAACAAAAGATATTCACTTAAAAGCGAGACTTATAAAAATAGTTGAGACTTATAAAAACACGCATTTTATATACGTAAATTAGTAGACTTCGTAACAAGGTTACGAATTAAATTATGGAGAATTTTGTGAAGTGTCACAGGGATCGTCCTAGAAAATTTGTAGTATAATACAAATTAGTTTTATAACTGAAATTATGAACTAAAGGGTCTTTCAACAAGAACTTTGTTTTCTAAAACAAAATAAAACAAAAAATTTAGATGAAGATGATTCAAATTTTTATTGTATTACAAAGAGAAAAGTTCGGCAATTATGAATGAAAAATGATATCTGGCAAATGTCCACCACGACCACGCTGACAGAAGTCGATTCTTTCATCAAAATTTTTAATCACTTTTTGGCAAAATGTCGGGTCTATTTCGGCTATCACATCACGGATTTTGAGTTTTAAGGCTGTAGTCGATTCGATTGGCTCCGTATAGACTCTGTCCTTAAGATAGCCCCACAAAAAATAATCCAGTGGTGTTAAATCACACGATCTGGCTGGCCATTTAACAGCTGAATTTCGGGAAATTACGCGATCAGCAAATTTGGTTTGCAATAAATTGATCGTCTCATAGGCTGTGTGACATGTGGCACCGTCTTGTTGAAACCACATGTCAGTGATATCCATGTCATCAATGCTAGGCCAAAATTGAGTTGTTAACATCTCGCGATAGCGTGATCCATTCACCGTTACCGCATTTCCAGCCGAATTTTCGAAAAAAAAACGGCCCAATGCCAACGGCACAAGTCACATTGCCACCGAAACAATGAATTAATTTATTGCAAACCAAATTTCCCGATAATTTCACGAAATTCAGCCGTTAAGTAGCCAGCTCGATCATATGATTTAACACCGCTGGATTATTTTTTATGGGGTTATGTTAAAGACAGAGTCTATACGGAGCCAATCGAATTGATTGCAGCCTTAAAACTCACAATTTTTGAAGTGATTAACCAAATAGACCCACCATTTTCTCAAAAAGTGATTAAAAACTTTATGGAAAGAATCGACATCTGTAACTGTGGTCGTGGTGGACATTTATCAGATATCATTTTTCATTAATAATTGCCAAACCTTACTTTTATTAATACAATAAAAATTTGAATCATTGTCATCCAAATTTATTGTTTTATTTTGATTTAAAAAACAAAGTTCTTATTGAAAAACCCTATACTTTTGGGTTTAGCTCTAATATCTGCGACAGACACAACAACTACTTCCCGGTAGTTTCTTCAGTCCTTGTGTAGACATTCATTGTCATCAACCCATATGCGACTTATATGCTACCTTGCAACCAATATGCAACCTATATCATTCTATATGCGAACCACAACCGAGCACGGGTCTAAAGAGATACTTTAGGTCATAGGCCATCAAGTTTGGCGTTGGATATCAAAAACGTCCTTTCAGAGTTTTATGAACCTTCTCTAATATGCAGATTTCATCGTTTTCGTTCACGGTGCAAAATTAATGTATACAATGCGAAAATATCTAGACTGGTACAAGTGCCTCTGTCGGAATGGTACTTAGGACCTTCTACATAGAAAGCAAATATTGTCCCAACTAAGCTTACACTGCTTTTGTAAATAACACTGTACCTTTTTGTGAAGTTTCTTTACATGAGCTGCAATAGAACAACAGTGAAAGTTTAAAACCATGTTATTAATAATATTACAATATGTGCAGTCAACTAGAGTACCACCCCATATCCAGAAAATAGGCAGCTTGAGTCCTAGTGTATATTAGATTGCAATTTGAGGACATGAGGCCATGTTAGATGAGGGTGATATATTTTTTAAATTTAATAGCAATAGAACTCCTTGTGAAAGAGTTCGTCCAGGGAAGTACTGCCACCTTACCTATTTCTGCTGCCGTGTCGACGAGTCGCTTACTACCAGGCGCATGACTTGTTCGTCCCGTCACTACGCCGCTTATTGGTCCTGTGTAGGTTCGTGAAGTATTATAGGCTTATAAAGTAGTGGAATCTGTGTAATCTTGGTGAAGCGTAAAAAGACGCCAATCTGAAATTATTTTTGGTTTCTATTACTGTAGGACTAGCACGACAGGGAGAATTGCGTGAGATCGATATATCTCTATGCGAGAATAGCAGCATCTCGCGCTTTATGTCGCTCTCGGTCAAGTCGCGCCCTGTCGTGCTAGCCCTACTGGTTCAGTTAAAAATTAGAAAGCTTATGACGGGGCTAAGTGATGGTGATTATTCACAATTTTAATCAAACTTTAATATTAAAACTGTATATATTAATGTAGAAGTGATAGCTACCTTTACGAGGGTCTCTAGAATAAATTGTCAAATCAGAAGTTGCAAGGTTGATGTTATTGATAATTTGACAGTAAATATCATTAAAGAAAATTACTCTATTCGCCCGTATTGACGAATAACATTGCAAAAAACAGTAATAATTAACACTTACTAATAACAAAGTCAGTTTAATATAGTTGCTAATCCGTCCGGCAGATTTAGTCAAGGGCGACTGACATAACGCGTAAAGTTTAGTTTATTTTCGTAACAACACTTTTTGTTTTACAGACTGGCCAGTATAACGTCAGACGACAGCCTGACGCCGCCCGAGTTGCCGGTGAAAACGCGGCGGAACATTCGCGCCGACGTTCAGCAACACTTCCCTAGTGTCGAAATCAGGTGACTACAATACCACTATGCCAATTAAACTTGACCTGTGACAGTTGCTTTTAAAATCGTTCGTTCATTATTATAACTTTTAACCAAATATTAGTTTAAATTAACCAAGTGTAGTGAGTAATCTAAACACTGTGTTTGCTTTTATTTTTATTTTTTCGGAAATCAACAGACCATTTTATATTGGTCTAGTGAATACCGATTACACCATAAAACCTCGAGATCTCAACGTAACTTTGAAGTCAAGGCTAATTAAAGTTAGACCTAGTCTAAAGTTATTTTTTGCTAATGGTGAATGTCTGTCTGTAAATGGTTATGAATTTCTACCGCATTTGTTTTGTGGGGATTGCTTAGTTCCGGGCGAGTGGAGTTGCCGCGAAGTTTTCCTTTTTCAAGACACTGTTTACGTTATGCATTCTGAACATACATAATATTTCTATTATTTGGTTTATGTTTTTTTTATTCAAACGATGAAATGTTTGTTGTTTATATTTATTTTTATTACTTTAGCAAAACTTGTTAGCCGTTTTAAATTTATTGAGTGTTATTTGTGATGTGTGTTGGAGGGGGTTGTTGGTTTCATGCGGTTTATCACTATATCTTGTGGCTATCTACCGACCCGAGAGATAGGGTTTTCCGGAGAGACTACGGGCTCGACGGCAAGACGAGGGTACGGCGGGCTTCCAGGCCAAGCCCTCCGCCAGTTATACGTCTTCACGATATAGCTAGCTAGACATCTTCCGGTCCCTCCGGCCGCGTAGGTATTTGGAAACTGGAGAGACGCCGTTCATTCGGCGTCGGGAAGTGAGCGTGCCTTACAGCTCCGCCACCAATGAGGAGATTTGGTAGTCGGCTTAGAGTCGGCCGCTCAGCGGTGGCAACCGTTAATCGTGCGGAGCGCGACGGGAAGGGAGCGTGTCTGCAGTCTCCGGTACTTATCTGGAAAATAGGGAGGGTGCTGTACTTGCACCCAGGGCGGCTCACCTAAGGCACTAGCCTTACAGAGAACCGGATGAAGTACGTGCAAACGTGCTGATCCGGGGTTAGAACCTGACCACGATGGTCCCTGTGAGAGCTCGCTCGCACAGATCATAGTGCCCTTCCCGTATAACCAACAGGTTGATAGGGAGGGGCACTATAAACAAAACTTATGTAGAATGATATGGGACTGTACCTTGTGGCTTTCTGATGTGGTTACCTATGATAGTTAGAAATTAGTTTAGTAGTAAATGGAAATTACTTGTCAGTTTAGTTAAAATTCTATTATGATTTACAGACAAAGCCCAGTGTGTTCGCTTCATGGCGACGCGCGACCACACACGCTAGCGGACCACCATCCGCCGCGGCCACCGCCGCTGCCGCTCAAAAAGAAACACAGTCAGTATCAATATTGTTATTTCCACATCTTTAAACATATTACGCTTACTCTATACAAAAAAATATACCTATACGAATACTGTAAATATGCATTACTATTACTACACTTGTAGCTTTTATTCAAGAAAAGCTGAGCCTGAGGTGCACTGATCTATTTACCGGGTTTGAGTGCTATGTACTATCATCAAAGTAGACTCGTTACCACCTTAACGTCGTCGTCGTATCGTATTCATTTGGCGTGCAGGCGACAGTGGTCAACAGCTTGCTTGTTCTTGTCAATCAATAGAGTTAGAGCCTGATCATATTTTTATTATAAACAAAAGGTTTTCACAAAAAAAGGATCAAAGGGAGAGGGCTGCTACAGTCTTAATACCAACCTACTTAATAACTGCCTCCGTGGCCGAAGGGTTACCATGCTGGTCTGCCACGCAGAGATTCCGGGTTCGATTCCCGAGTCGGGAGAAATATTTGTATGACCTACAACTATTTCTCCCGTGGGTTTGGGTGTAATTTGTGCTTGTTATGTGTGGACACACCCGTGGAGGCACCCGCGATGTCGAGTTTCCCTAGTGCGAGGCTATGACTGTGTGCAAAAAAAATCTCCACTTGCAAACTAAACTGTTTTTTGGGATTGGGTAGTCTTCAAATTTGCTGATAGTACAAAAGTTGACCATTATGTCCATTTGTGATTATGTAATGATTCCTGAATAGAGGCTCTAACTTCTGGTATCGTCTGAAGTAGTAACTTTCAATGAATATTTGTTCTATCATTCTTGAGAAGTCCCGCAATACTCATTTATTTGTGTTGAAATCAGACTATCATTTTCCAACCACTTAGACACATTTCTAGACAATACTGTCCAATAGAGTACAATTAAAGACACTATACGCCTTATTACAAATGATATTGTTACTTACGAAGTAAACAAAGCATTCTTTGCTTATCAGATCTTAGCAAAGAATTGCTTTAAACTAATTACATATTATACCTACAAACGGCATTGTGTGCATTATATAAAGTTGTATAAGGGTCTTTCACTGTTTAATGTTTATTGTGTTATCTCTGTGTTGTTTCTATTTATGTCTACATTATATAAGGTGTATAAAGGTCTTCTTTGTGGGAAATTTAATTTAATACACTATAAGACTTAGTGTCTCATTAACATTTGAATGAAGTATGTCTTTATTTTACTGTCTGATTGAAGGCCATCTGTGGTTGGCTACAAAATTAATTAAAGGCATCAACTTATGTATTTGTTTAAATTTAACGACTTTTTACTTTTAATTTATGTTGAATGTTACTAAACCTTTTAAGACAGAAAACACTTGGTTCCATTGTTGAGGTTTTATGCACTGGGTAGTCATTTTGACTATAATATGGGTTAATACGGAGATCATGAAGGGGTAATAAGGATTATTCTTATTTATCTGCATGTTTGTCTGTTATATCGGTGCCGTGGTGCAGTGTTCCAAAACGTCGCGTACAGTGGTGAGTGGGTTGCATGAGTTAAACCAAATGCCTTGTACAAACTGCCTATTACGTTCACTCCAAACAAAAAGACTAGCTGGAGCTATAAATTGACATCTAGGATTATTTTGCTGAGTTTAAAACGATAGAACGGCCTAATTTTGATGTAACTAAGTATATGGTGTGAGAGTCCTTATACAAACATGCTAAATGATCTACAGGATTACCTTGAATTAAACCAATACCTCTTAAGGGGCACCTGACCTCGTACGGTATCAGTCACACTTGCCGCTTTCAGCCCGTGTCGCCGAAAATATCATGCGTTCAGGTACTGACCGTGATATCCATGCGGCATGTTTATGAAAACCTTTCTCACAGTATGTACGTATACGGAGCCAAACACGCTTGACAAAAAAAAGCGTTTTAGGCATTAATTACAATGGACTTACTCGGATCACAAAAGGACGTTTGTCACAGTTTAGGCCATTCTAGTTTTGATTTTGATCTTTATTTAAATAGGATCATTGCTTTTTGTGCGTCTTTGGTCATTTTGCAAATTGTGCAATTGTGCAAATCAACAAATCGAAGCGGTTAATTAGAAGTCAGTGCGTCAGAACAACCTGCGCATTGATTAAATGCCAGCGATAATAACTTACGCCTAATTAGCGTACGTAATACATTGTATTGTAATGAAAAGTACGTATAGTATGACAATTTTTGCGTAGACTATCGCTTTAACGCTACGTACATACCTGTGTAACATTTCTCTTCAAGAGCATTACGTATACAACAAAACACTACGATATGAAATGTATGTGAGTCAAATGGAGTGACTACACTAATTATATGATTTACAGGTAAATTTTACTTGATTGTATTTTGAATATGTTAAACTTGATTGTGGTTATGGCGACCTGAATAGGGCACTTGCTAATGCCAATGACTTGGTACTTGCCTTATATTCAGAATATATATTTTTTCTACATCAACCTCATTGACAAAATCTAATTAATCGCTTTCACAATGTCACCATTAAAGTTTTAGCTCTAGCTTGCTTCATGTCATGTCACTTACTCACAAACGTTACTGTACAGGCTTCAGCAAAACTGTGGGTAACAACAACGGAGTTGTTCAATTATCGCTTGGGATGATTTGATGTTGTTAGCGCTTCATTACCGATCATTGTGCTCTCGTTGTTTAGTTTGTATTCGTGGTTTTCCACTCCTTTACAAAGACTCATTCTCCTTTATTTACAATCTGACTATACATATAGAACTAAAATATAAGTAATATTCTGTGACATATCCCTTAAATCAGGTTTTCAATTGTTATAGCGCTTTGCTTTTTAGGAAAATCGGACAAATGGAAAGACAATTTTTTTACACCAAAGTGACTCAAATTACTTTGACATCTAGTTTTGAGTGTGAGTTTTCAGTTTAAAGACCGTTGAAACATAGCATTTGTTTACATGTAACATTTACTTGACTTTTCTGTGCAGTTATGGCATACATGGAGATGTTCGGAAATTGCAGTCATCCGCCGAACAACACTACTGCGCCCCCCGACATGTTCCGACACTCCATACATACTTATAATTTGGCCAGGTATGTTGACAGTTCCGCAATATCAATTATTTTGTATGTTTATAGATTTCCAAAATTATATTGAATCTAGGAAATGGAACTATTTTTTCGGATCGAAATCGCGTATATTTGTTTTTTTTAAGCAAACCAACGTTTCAGGGTCTTTATAGTTCCCAAGATCACGGCTGACTGGTAGGCTAGAAGGTAAAGTTATCAACCAGTTATGTCTAGTATTAATGCCAAACACCCTTATTTTTCACTATAGTTACAAAAGTTGTTTGTTTGATTGGAAAAACAAATATACGCGATTTCGATCCGAAAAACGGTTTAATTTTTTTGTGTAACAATCGCGGAAACCAATCAATATATACAGGGTGGAACAGAACGACCGACAAAGCCGAAAACTGTGAAGAGTCTTAATTATGTACTTAATTGTACTGAAAGTCTTTTTGCTCTTAAGTGTAATAGTTTCCGAATCATTGAATGATAAAGATTTGCTTGAAAAGTCTGTGTTGTCAACTCTACAGACAGCTGTTGGAGGCAACTACCGAGAGGTACTCAGGACCAAATCTTTGTAATTTAATAGGTCGTTGACCTCCGTCGTTGATCAGCACCCCATCATTCGCTTTCTTTGATCAATCACTTCCTTTGATCAATCATCATGTGAATGATGAATTAATTGTGCGGGTATTTTATTATTTACATTTATCGAAAAAATGCACCTCTCGTAGAACCTTCGGGAGACATGTTGTTTTTAAACGATGCGTTGTCATAAACTACCTTCAACAACTTAAGAACAGTAAAGTTTTCTAAATAACTCTGTCAGGAGTTCAACTCATATAGTCTGCGTCATAAGATTAGACTAACTTAAATAAACATAATTAAATTAAGTAAACACGTTCTACAACATGCGTCAAGTACTCAAATTACAATAGTCTCGTAACCCTTAATCCGTACCTAACGTAAAATAGTAAATTAGTGCAGCCAATCACGTCACTTATCACCGCTTACAGATGCACACTTGATACCTGTTATCTGTTTTTGGTAGCATAATCAGGCGATCGTTTTTTGTACTAGTCTATTTTTGAACGCATTTGGAAATACTTTTAATTTACACTACAAGAATTTACTAACTTTAAAACGAAAAGTTCATTTTAATGAGATCAAAATTTAAAACTAAATTTTCTGTTAACTAGAGCTGAGTAGTTGAAATTTTAATAAATGTAATGTAAAAATAAACAAATCGGTTCTTGGAGATCTGCAGACCACCTCCACGGTTCGTTTTCTTATTTTTGAGTATCGATTATCACATTTCTAAATTTGATTATTTATTACAATTCATTCAACGACCTGCATTTAACTTACCTTTACTTGAATTGTTGCTCATGGTACTTACACCAGACAATACGATTGTTGCGAAACCTGTTTCTTTATCATAATTGTCTTTTTAAAATTAACATTTAGATATTTTATTAAATATCAACGATACGAACGTGAGCGTCGGATATCAACGATATCCGACGCGTACGCCGCCGCGCCCATCTCTATGCAGTGTTGCCAACTAGGCGACTTTGTCACATAAAGGGACATAATGACATCAAAAGCGACTTTTATTTCTAGCGACAAAAAATTTCGTTCGTTTAAAATTTAATATTATTTAGGAAATGAAACTATTTTTCCGGATTTAAATCGCGTATATTTGTTTTTTCAAACAAACCGACGTTTCGGGCCCTTTACAGGTCCCATGGTCACGGTTGACTGTCAGTCAACAAAAAAACAAATATACGCGATTTAAATCCGGAAAAATAGTTTCATTTCCTATGTGTAACAATCGCGAAAACCTAAGAACTCGATATTTAATATTATTTTTATTATAGTATTCAGGAGTCTTTTGTCTGTACTGTGACCATAAAGTTCTGGCCAATTAAATGGACCTTCTGTTTACTGATATTTGCTTTAGTCTAGTTGGCAACACTTTTTCATTCATAAATTAGTTCAAAATGCCTGGTTGTATGGTAACTCGTGGTCTCATGTTTTTCTTGTGTTTACAACACAAAACAACGTTTACTTATTAATTTTTGGGTGATGACAGCAACTTATTGGAATAGTGCCGTTATTAAGTAGCGTTTGTGTTAAGCAAGTCAATTGTATTAGTGTGTTTGTGTGGAAACCCACATTGGCATGTGTCTGGCCCACACAGGAATGTGTCTGGAATGTCTGCAGGAATAAAGGTGACGTGGACAAATCGAACATCCTTTTATTTTAAAGTAAGTTCAATGTTATTACCTATTAAACACTTTTATTTCTTCTGCGAGTGCCAATGACGCGAACGCCGTCTGTGGGGCAGTAGATGTACTAACACCATTGATTCTCTTAGGTTAGTTGCACAGCGAAAGGTTTAAATCTGGACGAACATTTTTCAATTGCTCTGATTTTACATTTCATGTAAATAAAACTCATGTATGTAGGGTTATTAACGTGATGTTGTCGGCTTTGTCGGCTATTCCGTTCCAACCTGTATTTAGTCTAGTTAAAAAAAATAGGGTACATAAAAATATTATACATGCACACAAGAAATGATCGATTTATGCTCAGTCCACTAGGGATTTATCAGAACATAAATGACGCGCGAAAGGCGGCTAATTATTATCGTAATTTATTGCAGTAAGAATAGGTACGTAATTGTTTTTGACGCTTTATATTCAATTATTCACAGCGTTAAGTATATAAATACTTTATTTGCATTAAAATAGCGTCATTGTTAAATTAATACTCGTCTAAGATCGTTACTTTAATTTTATTATTTGACTTAATTTGTTTAATAATGTTTCTAACGTTACATTTAAGCGCCCAACATGCGTCTGGAGGCGGCTTGACCGTGCAAAGACAACAAGTTCAACGGTCCATTGCCCAATCATTGACACTGCATCATCTGGGTACTCCTCCATTTAGGTGAGTAAAACCATTTTACTACGTATATCCAAACGTGTCAAATGTGAATCTTAAAAAAAATCACAAATCAAATCGTTTTTTAAAAGATTTCGGGAGTTAGTCATAGGTACATCATGGTACAGGGACTTTAATCGACGACTGTCGATTGAGATGCAACCGTTTTCCCCGCTGTACGGTGCTCTTGTACATTGATCTACATTAACTAGACGTGAAATGTCTTGCAACAGCCGCTCAAAATTTAAATCTATCTTTCTCTAATGTGTCCGTTTTGTTCACAAAAAATCCCAAGCTACACAATTTTTTTTTCACAAGGCGTGAGGCGTCACAATATTTAATGAAATGTCCCTTATATACCAATAAAAATACACCTAACAAAACATTTTTTTACTTCCAGTGGTTCAGAAGACAGTGTGAACATAACGACTTCGAGTGGCACGAGTCCGGTGCCCCCCGAAGTGCCACCTGCGTTACCACCTAAGATGAGCAAAAACAAGCAGGTTCAGATGAACTCTAGCAACGAGCTTTTGCCACCACCATCACCGTCGCCATCGCCGCGGCCACATTCGCATAATAGTTCAGCTGATGAAACTGTGCTTCACAATGTGGTCAGTATTCATGTTATACTTACGGTATATTCTGTTTGTATGGCATTTTATTGCTCTGCGTGTAACAAAGTGGACTACTGCTTTAGTCAAAAATTAATTACATAGAATGACTACATAAAGAGCGTCAACTAAAATTCAATCTATTACCTTCGTCTTACCGCTTGTGTCCACTATGGAACTAAAATGGGTCAATACAGCTTTGTTACCATGTTATAACCTGATATATCAGTTGCCTTATTATTGTAACACTTGTATTTCAGAACTCGGACGATTCACTCACGAGATCTGCGACACCAGGCAAGTTTCCACTTGAAGATGAATTGGAAATGCTTGTTCAACAACCACCTACACCTTCACCAGTACCTTCTCAGGTTGGACTAATTACGTTATTTTATTTAAATAGCATTAACAATGACCAGTTACAGAGTTGTGTTATATAGCAATTACCTGCTGCATTCTGAGCGTAAACGGACTTGAAAAGTGACGTCATGAACAAAAATGTTATATTTAACTACTACGAACTAAAATAATGATATATTTATGAGAGGCTTTTACTCGGCAGTGGGACATAAGAGGCTAACAAAAAAAAATTAGATTGTCCAATAACCATGTAAGTGGCTCCATTAAACACGAGATATATAGCCGTACGAGCTACTCGAGAGTGGCGTTTGTTTGGAGTGTTAAATGGGTTTTAGAACCGAACTTACACACCCTACTTTTCCCTTTCAACTACGAGGAAATAAAACAATAATACATAATATAATATAAAATTACAAGATTATTTGCGCTACAGTAGATGTATTTTATTGAATTCATAGGTATATATAAAATAAAAGGCAAAAGAGTTTAAAAGCGATCCTTACGTTTTTTTTTCTGTATAAATATTTTATTGTGATCCTTAAGGCGTTAAAAGGCTTTTTAAAACGGGAAAGCTCTTGATCCTATAAGGCTTAAAAGTAATACTTAATTCCGCCTGACCGAGTCATATACGACTAACGTTACTGACTCCTCTCATTGTATAACTTAATAAAATACTTGTGGCACATGGATAAAAAAATTTACAAAAATACTTAATGTCAATTTTTTTCTATCAACAGAAAAGTGAAAGCAGTTCAGGACCAACATATATAGATATATCAGAAAACAAAACCAATTCAACTCCCGCCGATCCTGATGATATTATTCTTCAAACTGATATCAGCCAGTGGTTACTCCTCAAAGCACCAAGTAAAGATGGCCCTGAAGTGCGGGGAGGGAATCCTGATGCACTTATTGTACTCGCTACTAAAGCTACCAAAGGTAATTATTATTGATAATTTAAAATGGGTATTTGGTTTTATAATTGTAAGAAAATGTTATCACAAAAATGGCTTTCGGTTTTTTCTTTCGTAAAACATTTCAGGCATTTACATAAGTTGTGATTATGTGTTTTCTGATCTGGGGCTGAAAGAAGTAAGCTTTATAGGCGATTCCGTGCGTGCAAAATTGAACACAAAATGTGTGCGTATATTATGGAATTTACTCGTACAATGTACCGTTCAAAACGTTTCGATATCTGTAAGCGAAAAAATAAACATTGTTAAATTCTGTCGTATATGCATGCGTTTCGAATTAAAATTTTCCCTTACTGTTATTACGTCGTAATATTATGGTCACATATACCCATACTTTTGACGAATAATTAGTGGAATTTGTTTCAACAGTCAATACTCGAAGGACGGAATATCAATTAAAGAAACCTATAATAAAACTAATATTGCACCAAGCAATCACACCCTTTGCTACGAGTATCAGAGTAATCTAATTCACTCCGAGCCACTACTCAGAGCACCCAGACCAGAACTAATTCAGAAATGTCTATTTCCCAAATTGGGGCCCTAACCGAGAAGAACACTACAAAACCCAGGACCTTCTTGTTCAGCGGTCACAGTGCGGACCGTTGCGAGGTCATCGACCTTAAGAATATTACTATACGTAATAGTAATATTCTTATATTGTATACACTCTTGTATACAGCTAGATCAAACAGTTACCCCTTTCAGTCTTTGCCGTTCAAATTCTCATCCTATTATAAATCATTCAAACTCGTTTTTGTGATAGCAAACTATTGTTCATCAGTAATTGTCGGTCTATCATCATAGTGTACGTTTCGGGTTAATAATGCCAATTCCATTACACGAGATATTTAATTGATGCTGCTGTGACGTTTTACCTTACCCCTATCTATCGGGGAATAAGGATATAATGATAATATATAAGGATAGTATGATTAGTTTAAAAAGACGTGTAATGGAATTGGTATGTTGAGTCATTAGTCAGATAATCCTCTATCGAAGGCCATGGGAATGAAAATGGTTAAAGTTTGTCGGTTTTTACTGTAACTTTGTAATCTTCTTGTTCCATCGCATCTAACCATAAAACTTTCATGCTTTCACTTTACAGAAACGGACGAGTGTAAGTGATTGAATCATTGTACAATTCGGGCACACGTTCTCTGGTTTTTCTTCTTATTAATTAACTAACGCTTTGCTGTTGCTTGGATGTTCTTAGCATGTAACGTTTGTTGTGTTTGACGCTAAAATAACACCAACAATAACCTTTGTAGCGTTAAATAAGAAACATGCTTCTTATATACATATAAGTGTAATATCTTTTATTTATGGTTAACGTTGGACTGCCTGACTTTATTTATGTTAAAGTGACTAACGGATGTCGCAAAAATAATTTACTAGGTATACGTATTTGAATTTATAATTTTGAAAGGGAAAAATCTAACTCTTGTTACTTTTGTGTATTTTACAAAGAAGTCGTAAATTATAGTACTTAAAAAATATATTATTTCCATATTTAGTATTACTTGGCATTTTTTTAATTCATGCTTTATGCTTAAAATTCCCGTATAACAGTCATTTTTAACCACTTGATAAAACAGTTGATGTAAAGTGAACTGAATCATTACGGGATGCCTTTGCCATTGACGAGTAACAGAATAGATGCGGACGCAATGTAATACAAGTTGACCATAAACACGATTGTTTTTTTTGACCTTTAGTTTGCCGGTTTATGTGAACCTAAAGTTTCAATATATATAAAGTCACAGCCTATTCTGTTTACTGACGCTTGATTCCTATAAAATGACACGTAACTATATAGTAATACTTAGTGGTGTGTGCGCAGATTTTGCGTACCAGGAGGCGTTTCTGGCGACTTACCGTACGTGGGTGTCGCCGAGCGGTCTGGTTGCACGGCTTGTGAGAAGAGCGCATCATTTCCGCCCGCGGCCGCACGAGCTGAGATCCACGCTTAGCCTGTTGACTAGAGTTGTGGCTGATCTTACGTAAGTACCACATGTGATTGTATGATAAGGTAGAATTGCGTAAAATCGAAATCATAATTTCTGGGAGTTTTCCACATTATAAAGCTATGTTATACTGCATTGAAGTCATTAAAACTAGATCTAAACAGATTGACATAACTACATTCTAACTAACATAAAAACAACTTGGTCTGGTCGGATCCAACTGGATCGAAGGAATTTTTTCTGAGTGTTCGATCTTTGTATTAATGATTACAACAAACTAGTGGAGCTATTTCACAAAAAAAAATAATTGAATATCAAATCAATAAAATATTTAAAATAAAAACAACTTGTTTAAACAAAGTATGTTTTTTTATAGCATGTCCGACTTAGACCAACCACTGATGCAAGAAATAATGAAGTTCATCTATTGGTTGGTGGAGGTGGAAGAACTACCGATTGCCAAGGCGCTCAGACAGATTCTAGTCGACAAACAGAAGCAAATACATTTCCAACAGGTAAATATTTTTATTTATCTTTTATTCATTGAAATTTAAATCAAACCTTTATTGATTAATTTAACCTTTGCATATGTGTAACGCATTATACTATATTCGTTTAATATTTTTGTAGAAGTTATTTTGCTATTTATTCTGATACTATTTTCTCTACAGTTTTCAGTTAACAAAATATAAATTTCGTTATTATATTTTCAGTCAAACCACCGTTACGAATACGAAACACCATGCTACGGAGCAGTGTCCCTGCGGCGCGACACCCTTCTAGACTTCAAAGCCACAGACCTAGCGGAACAAATGACGCTGTTAGACGCAGCATTGTTTGTGCGAATTACTACCGCAGAGGTGCTGTCGTGGCCACGAGACCAATCTGAAGAGAGCTCGCCAAATCTTACCCGTTTTACGGAGCATTTTAATAAGATGAGCTATTGGGCAAGGTCAAGGATATTGGAACAGGTAATTGCATTATTATCAAGCATATGTGTATAAATGTGCTGTACTTTATTACTTCAATTGAATGAATACTTTGCTTTTGGAATTAGCATTATACTAAACAATATTAACATTATAATTAAATAAATGTTACAGGATGAAGCCAAAGAACGAGAGAAATACGCCAGTAAATTCCTAAAAGTAATGAAGGCGTTACGCAAGATGAATAACTTCAACTCTTACCTGGCTCTCGTGTCAGCCTTGGATTCACCTCCAGTGCGAAGACTGGGCTGGCCTCGGGCCATCGACGATGCGCTCCTTGATCATTGCGCTATCATCGACTCATCATCCTCTTTCCGCGCGTACCGACTGGCGTTGGCTGAAACACAACCACCTTGTATACCATACATGTAAGTTTTATTATTATTATTATTATTTAATAATGATGACATAAAAAAAGATGACATAAGTAAATAAAATAAGCAGTGGTAGCGTAATGGTTTGACTAACCGCCTCTCAAGCAGAGACCGTGGGTTCGAATCCGGCTCGCACCTTAATTTATGTGCGAAATTTAATTGAATTTTACCAAGAGCTTTTCGGTGAATGAAAACATCGTGATGAAGCCTGCTCATCGAAGAAGGTTCACAACCCTGCTTAGTTCCCAACCCGCGTTGGGCCAACGTGGCGGACTATGGCCCAACTCTTCGCCCGAGAGTAGACCCATGCCTAGCAGTGGGACTTGTAAATGAGTTAATGATAATGAAGGAAATAATGAATAACCTTTTGTATACCTTGTGTATAGTTATTATTCTTAGAGTGCGTTAGATATAACATATTTGCTACTTGTTATTTCAACAATCCTAAAGCCAAATTACACATAATGTTAATTAAGTAATGGTCCATTTATCAATATGCTGTCTCTAGTTGTGCTGAGTATTATATGGTATTATAAAATTAATAACATATTAAATTTAAAATATTTTATGCAACTCGTTGTAAGATTCTCAAAGCGTGGCGAATAGATGTTACAGAGAAACTCGAATAGTTCATTCTCTTACGTTCCTGAGAGAAACAAAAGAAATCTCTGCTAACTTCATTACCATTGATACAGTGACTGAAAAATCGCCTAAGAGGGTCAATTTAATGGGCGTTTCGTCTTTTTGTCGAAGAACATTGTTTTAATACCGTCATATTTTTTGCAGTGGTCTAGTCCTGCAAGATCTGACGTTCGTACATATCGGGAACCCCGACCTGCTACAGGACGGAGTCATCAACTTCACCAAGCGTTGGCAACAGTACCACATCATGGAGAACATGAAGAGATTTCATAAAGAGTGCGTATAATAGTTTTGTATAAAATTTTATCTTATTGCTTGCTTCATCACTTTGGTTTCGTCAATTTTTTTAGCGTAAAAGTATACTATTTCCTTGGTCAGTGATTTTACGTTTTAAATCCGTCCAAATGTCTAATTTTACTTCTAAACAAGTTTAGTACGGCACAACCCTAGTGAATTTAATTTCCTAGTCGTATAGTAAGCACCACCACAGTTTTTTTATCAGTGGCGACGACGATAATAAACATGTTATTATTATCTTTAGCAGACAGTACAAGTTCAAGAAGAACGAGCGGATCCAGGCGATGTTCAACGACTTTGACGATGTCCTAAGCGAGGAAGCTATGTGGCAAGTGTCAGAGAGCATCAAGCCCCGTGGTGGTCGCGCTAAGACTGGTCCTCCTCCCACACCTGCGCTCGTCAATGCGCCTACGCCTGCACCTGCACAGACCGCTGCCTAGACGATGATGCTTTAAGCATTAAAAGGTAAACTTCACAATGTAAATAGACAATCTGAATCTTCTACTTCGCTGTGGCTTTACTGTCTTTTTGACTGCTATAGAGAAAGGTTGGAATCATAATATTGATGAGCGCAGTGGTGGTGCCTCTAACGTCTTTGCGATTTAAAGCCCTGAATGGCACTGCAACTATTATGGATACGCGTGTCGCTTACCATCAGGCGCACGAATTGTTCGTCCCGTTATTTGGTATACTAAAAATTAAAAAAATATCAAGTTACAAAAGGGTGCCTTCCCTAGTTCAACCACGTTGACTGTTGTAGAATAATTGTAATATAATTTGTATTTTATCATAACAATTAAGAAGTGTATTACAAAAATATGTATTATGTTTTTTTTAATACTACAATTCCTTGTTCACAGATAAAATTGAAATCCAAAGAATAGAGGAATGGTTGTACCGAGTGTGTGTGAAAAGCTGAAGACAAGGTGAGGCTTATATCTACGAGGTTTTGGGTTAGGTGAAATGTGATTATCTGTCCTAAAAAGGCCTAATTAATGTTAATGTAATTACTCGTAATTTTGCGATTTCTCAACTGTGATCGGTCCGAGAGCGAATGTGTGTGACAGATCAACAGCGACGATAAGGTGCTCGATTATACATTTACAAATACTTCTGACATGAATATCTATCGTAATTGAACGTGAATAAGAGCCAAATTTCCTAATCAGTATTGATATCGAGTTACTGTCGTCCTACATATCAGCATGTGACTTGCGTAGTACTAAAGAAACGAGTGACGCCTAAGTGTTTAGGGTTAATGTCATTGATATTCTTCTCGTTGTTGTACCTATATTTGCCATTGATGTCAGTATAACGTAAAGTAGGCCAGCTTCGAAAGTTATTCAATACATCGAATTAGAGAACTTTATTGAAGTAGGTTAGTATTCGACATTACTTATTGACCGTCGAGTGTTTTCTAATGTTCTAATATTTGCGATTGCACGTTGTTACCGCGTAACGATAAATAATATTAACGAGTATTTCGAGTGAGAAATGGGACTATTGCTTTTGTTTAAAATCAAAATAAAAGCGTTGAATTTGATAATTCATTGCCTCGACCATACATAATACTCCAATACATCGGGGCTTCCATAGTTTTTAATCGAAAGCAAGCAATAATATTAAACTCCTGAAGGTGATCCCTATGTTTTTCGTAATATTTTATAGATAATAAACTATTTTTATATTACAGTCTACATTTATGCACCGTGTTAACCGATACATATCATGAAGTGTGTGCCAAATGTTGAAAACAAAAGCGTCCCATTTCTGAAACACGGATAAGTAATTTTCGAGTTTTAAGGTCGCTTGGCGTTATAAGAAAGATTTTTTCGATAGAACAATTTACTTTTAGCAAAAAGGAATGTTCACAAACGCTACCTAATTTAATTGTGCAAGGTTTTACGGTAGGATGCAATTCACAGCACTTGGTGTAAATTTACTGTAGGTATACCAAAGAAATTCAACTTTCGACTGTAAACGGATCAAAACTACCGTATGGACTTTAGTGTCTTTGTATTTTATGACGTTTTAACACGACGGAAAAGATTTAACAAGCGCGTCTATTTCTATGCCATTTAATTCGTATCGAACTATTTTATGGTTAATGTAATATTTTTGTGCATATTGAAATTCAATGCAAATTTTTATTTTTGATATTCAGAAACTATATTTCTCCTAAAAATGCCGCCTTGGGTGGCGTACGATTTATGAATAGCGTACTTTTGAGATCTATATTTGAGTGTACGAATCGTCACGATTTGTGTCATTCTACTTTATAGTAACATTAAATTAAGCTTAAGATTCAGTACAAGCTGAAGCCGTAGCGAAGTGTGTATGAAATTTTTGAAACGTTATTCACTTTGATAGTCTCAGTATTCGTGTTAACAATAATCACGTTTAAAAACAATTACTGTAGGGCGATATTAAACGAAATAGTGTAACGTTCGCATTTACTTACTTTGCCTTAAGACGACGATGTCTCCAATGAAATAGCAATAATTTTTTATTATTGGTAGAGTCGCTGCACAATTTGTGATACTTTTCATGTAGCGTGCCGCTTACTCAGTCTTATTGACGTCCTCTATACGTAGACAATTATATTAGGCGAATGTTTAGCGTAAGATTAAATGAACCCCAATATTAACAGCTGCCTAAGCCGGTATTACGCCTGTCCATGATGCATTTCAGTATGTTTAAATTTTAGAATATATGTTCTTTAACGTTAAAGAACAAAATTCTAAATGTTAAAACTACTATATATCTAAAGCAGTATTCACAATAACATTGGTGTGATACTGACTTGGCAAAGTAATTATTAGGTAATACGTATGATTACATCGATCTGGTAGTTTGTGTATTGTTCAAAAGGAACATTTGATTCCATGCAATAACTAACTAGACCAATATTTAGAATGTTTTACAGCTTTTTTTGCAATTGTGTGCTGATAATAGTCGGATCTGTTGCACATATTTTTTAACCTCTTTTCTCAGGTCTACAAATGTAGGGTCTCTTAACTGCCTAGTAGTGGCCTGGTAATCATCTGATATAGCACATTGTAGTTAGTAAAAATGTATGCTGTTCAAAATAGGAGCTTATACATATGTAGCAAAGGGTTATGTAGAAAGAAAACTTATTTTCTTTTTATACTATTGCGAAAGGCATGAATAAAAGTGCAGGTTAAGAAATGTGCACGACAGGTCTGACACGATTGTATAGTAATTTGAGCGATAGTTAAGTTTTAGATACGTTACCATTTTTGTTGTCTGGTATTATTATTTATTTAAATGTATTGCGAACTATTGCAACGGATTGATATGATAACCTATATTAATTGAGTAATAATTAAAGACTGCCTAAATTAATTATTCAGTAATTGATGTGTATAGTGTCAAAATTTGTTTACAAGTCCCGTTACGTGTTTTCGAGTAGTATACTATTTAGATCTGTAATAGTAAATTTAATAGCCTCTGATTCGTCACAATATCGCAATTTAAACTTACGACCTTAGAAATTTAAAATGTCTCACATTTAGTGAACAGCGTACATAATTTTGTTGTATTAGCAAGTTCAGTATTATGTTAAATCAAAATGCCATAATGTATCAAATGGATTAAAAAATAAATAACATTTTATATTATAGTTTATTCTGGAAGCGATTTATGATTTCTTAAAGATATATTAATAATATTTTACGTTACGTTAAGTATTTTTTATATTATTACATAAATTACGATTTATTTGTACATTACATTTATTGAGTTATAAAAACCCGTATTATATTTGAACTGCATGCGTGTACAGTTTTAATTTTTGTGTGTCAAGATTTTTTTTGTAATTATTTTGTAAAATAAATATAGCACGTTATTTACAACATACGTCTATCTTTTATTTATAGAAACTATTCACTGTTGTTATTTGTATTATAAGTATAATATACCACGTTAATTGGTACTTAGAAAACCTCAGTATTTAGGAAGTAAGCAGCAAACATTTCACCGTTGTGAGAAACTGGTTGCAATGAAATAAAACAATTTAAATGTAAGTATAATGTTACAACATAATTAGTCCACAACACTTTAGTAATTCTGTCAAGGCGATATTAGCTAAATGAAAGACTTATCGGACGATAATTACTCTTACTTAACTTGTGATAATGACGCGATGCGTAAGTAATCCTGTGGAGAACACTTTACCGCCAAATGGTAAAACGATACATCTTAAGTCTTAGCGTTTTGAGTCGTTGGAATTTAATATTTTTACTGGTTTTCGCCTACATTTTTCAGCAAAATTATTAGCGGTGTATTTTTTATACACTAGTGTAATTTATAAACTTTATGGAGGCAGTGGCACAGTGGTTCGACCCCCATACAAGCGGTTGAGTATAGACATTGACTTACAAATAAAAAGTCAATGAGTATAGATGTGGGAAAGAGAGGAAAATCAAAACACAACATTAAGAGAAAAATAAATATGTTGTTCTATTATTGAAGGACAATAACAAATGTTACAGATAAAGCTTACGTAAATATTGTAACACATGTGTTGTCGATGTTTATCATAAGAAATATATAGCTCAATGAGTCGTATCATACTCAGTTATTCAGAAGAATATTGTTTGAGCTACCTTAGTTGCGTCGCTCGTCGACATCGTTATTTTCAAGTTTTTTTTATATAATACTGTATTACGAGCTGCTTTATACCCCGAAATATGTTATTAACTGTGTTAATGGTACTGGTATTATACTTCTTCAAATATTTATTTCACCGTAGGACGGGGCACTCCTGACGCACCATTAATCAACGGTCCAAAATGGGTCCAAACGTGGCAATAGCTAAATACTAATTTTTACAATCGCCGAAACAAGAAGTAAAATATGAACTGCAGATTTTTATCTTGCTCTCCATATCACCATCAACCCATTTCTATGTCCCACAGTTGGGCACGTGTTTCCTCTCAGGCGAAGGTTGCGGGTTGGGGACTTTGGGGTTTTTCGAGGGTTTCCGAAGGTTGTGAACCTTCGACGTGCAGGCATTATCACGATGTTTTTCCTTCACCGAAAAGTACATGGTAAATTTCAAATTAAAATACAGAGGTGCGAGTCCGGATTCGGACCCACGGCCTCTGTTTGAGAGGCGGTAGGTCAAACCATTAGGCTACGGCTTCACTCTCCATATTGAAGTTTAATTAATCCTAAAGTATGACTCCAATTGGAAATTTTGTTAAAATTTTTTTAATTTTAAAAAATTGCATTTTAAGTATACTATGTCCAAACACTTTTATGGTTCGAACCACTGTGTCGCGCCATGAATCGTCCCCGGGTTTCCGCGCGACTAAAAAAAAGTAAATACATGGCAACTTCACGTTGTTTCCGTTATCCACGCAATGAGGCCCATGTTGTGGCAAAACAATCCAAATGGCGCAAGTTGTGGCATAGCATTAATATAATTGTACATCGGTTGTTGCTTATGTAACAGCGAATGGTGTATTAAGTAAAAAAGTTCTAATTTTTTTTTCCTACAATTTTGTTTCGGAAATATCTTGAGTAGTTTCACAAAAATTTTACTTTCCAAGCGGTTACATTGAACTAATATTAAAATGAGCAGTGCTACGCTAAAACGTTGTAAGTAATCGTACCGCGTTCTACCATCCAACGGCAACACAGCATGATGGCTTTACTATACTACAGAGACGGCGTAAGGAAAAGGTTGATTTTTCTTTAATAATAATAATAATAAACAATGTTTGGTTCGATGTCAATCACGCAATTGTTGCGCTTCACAGGTGAAATTCGTTATGAAATTAATTACACATTTAACATCTGTACACTCTAAATTAACTAAAAATCTTATAGGCCATAGAGAGGCGAGAAGCTAAAATATTTATCCAAAATAATAATATTCATTTGTGCATTGTTAGTAATACACAAAAACATCTCTAGCGTTTTATTTATTTTATTACAAAATCCATAATCTAATAATTGTTATACACATAAAGAGCGACCTTAAAATTGTTCATAGACAACCAAACCCTATATCTGCGTTTAAATGATGTCCTCTAAATTATTCCCCTGTTATTAACGACACCCAAATACACGTATCTTTTGAGGTGTGTAAAAAAATCAAAATCTAAACGAGTCTCAATTGAACAAACAGTTACAAACTGACACTTATCCACTTGCACTAAATTTAAGTGCCTAAACGCCTAAACCAATGCTTAAATTGATAAGACACTCTTAACACAATGTTACTAAGAGTGACTTTTGACTTGCAAGCTTTGGTTTGAGACGTACTTAAGTTTAGTGGAAGCGGACATTAGAGTGGTTAAAAAAATTTAAATAAAATAATTACTATTTAATAAAAATTTGTGAAATCTTTCAATATTTTTTTAATTTACACTTTTAATTATTTTAATTTGTAAAACTTTTCTGTGTCGCCGAGGTAATCATTTTACATTACATATGTTTACAGGAAAAAATTGTATTATACTTCTACAAATTCTACTGTTAATCTTAAACAGCCCCGTCTTAGGGTAGGCTTGTCGTTTTAGTCATTAGTACACCGTTTTAAAACTTTTAATGTGTCAAGAGACAAATTCGTCTCTGTCCTGTTTAATAGATAAACGTCAAGTGGCAGACATGTCCTTAGATTACATTTAACTATCTAATGAGGTGATCGGTAGAGTAATCCTTTTCTGAAGTAGCTGCTTTTACTTAAATAGAGGTGCTGGAATAATGCGTAGTGCAGTACATTTTAGTTAGGCTATAGAAAGTAAACACCAACAATGTTAGGTACTGTTTTAGTTGCAGTTTTTGTAACTGCATTTGCAGCACCTTTAGTGGAGGATAGAGCTCAGAAGTTATTTGACCCAAATGAAATATTGTCTGGAGACCCTGATGGTAAATTTATAATACATTTACAATAGACCATTTATTAATTATTATGCAGGTACCAACTGAATTTTAGAAGCTGTTATTAACTGTTTTTTACTTTAGTGGAAATAAGGTGTTTTGATGAAATGAAAAAAGATGAGTAACCGCTATTTATTAATCTCCGGTAACGTAACATATTTTAAATTTCGGGACTCTAGAATTGAATTTTCAAAAATAATTTTCATACAAATTTTTTTTTTGGCACCAGTATTAAGTTTGTACTAGAGAGTGTGAGATAAATAGGGTTACCATTTGTATCTACTCTCATGTTTCCTGAATTTATAATCGTTCATGACAGTGTTCCGAAATTATGCATTTTCACGCGCACCGAATAATATAAAATGATATTTGAAAAGTACTACATGAAGGTAGAAATTCCTTAAATAAGTTTCCTGAACTATAAACATTCCATTGAATAATATTTAACATTTGGTCTAAGTAAAATTCCCTCTACAGCATTCGAAGAGGGCGAATTCGGCAAATATTTCGAAGGAGATATGTTGCTAACAACAACGCAAGAACGTGACATCCATGCAGCCAAGGATGACTCTCGTAATGGCCTTCGTGGTGGAACCAAACGTTGGCCCAATCGAACTGTTGTTTACCACATTGAAATTGAGGATTTTGGTCTGTATTTAATTTGATTATACCATGAACTAGAAGCTGCAGTGTAGGTTAATTAATAGATTCAGGTGGTACTTTGCGGAATTACATGTTAATAAATATTGAAGTAAATTAATTTGCTATTCTGCGAACTCAGTGGAGGTGAAATGAATGTGTTGATAATTTTTTTTTCATGTAGTCAATCATAGTGCCTCGTAGAGAGGCGAAACACGTATCTGGTATATTTTTGGTGGTGGTATCTGTGACTGTACTTAAGCTTATGTCATTTATTTTATCAATTTTATTCAGAGGGAGATCAAAATTAACTGTATGAAAACAATATTCAACACAATCGCAACTAAGTTCGCGAAATCGCAAATAAATATACTTCCATTTTTACTAGCAGTGTAATGCGCAAGTGTGACAAGCAAATAGTGGAAGGTAACTGCTAGATATTAAGCGTTATATGGCGGATTTTTATTGCTAAGGTCTACATTTACCGGGTTGATCACAATGATGATGGTGACATACCATTTTAAGCATGTCGCAACCTCCGTATAGTAAAGACAAAGTCAAGATCATTTGGTTCGATGTCAATCGCGCAATTGTTGCGTTTCACAGATGAAATTCGTCATGAAACTAATTACACATTTAACACCTGTGAACTCTATTTAAGTTAACTACGAAACTTACTATTATTACACTTTTTTGTCGGTTGGTAACAGAGGACGACCAAGTTAAATTGATTGAAGAGGGAATGGCCGATATTGCAAACAAGTCTTGCTTAAGATTTGTACCTAGAAAGAATGAAGCGGATCATGCTGTTATTATACAGGTAATGAAGACTAGTTAAACATCAAAAATTCCTTTCATATTATTAGGGTTTTATTAGAAAATACTATACCTATTCCATTACAATACTTTAAAGTAGGTATCGCTCTCGACTTTTTGAGTCTTATATTTTTCAATTGGATTGACTATTCATATCTTGTGTAAAATATTGGATACAATGTACCCATGAGAGTTTGGACGGGCGCGCTGTTTAACGGAATCACCAATCTTATTAACACGGAATCGTCTGGATACGATCGTGTTTAACCACACTTGTCGCATTAAGCCGATTCGCCGTTCGCGCACGAAACTAAACATTACGGAACATCACAGAGGAGTCACGGCGCCGAGCAAGCAGGCCCTGCACTCTAGTTCTCCGCCGTTGGTTGTCGATCCGTCCGAAAACAGTTCTGTCAAATACATAATACTTACCAAAATTAAAATTAAAATACGCATGATGTGAACGAAGCTTGTGCGCACGCATGATGCGAGTGAAGACATTGTCTTTTAATTGGGTCTAGTATTACTTATTTAACGGTAATTGTTTCGGACGAACGCCGAACGGAGAACTAGAGTAGACCCCGGATTTATTGCCAACCTGTGTCGAGTTGCGTTCGTACGAATCGATGCGAAACGCACGTATTTTTCGTTCTTAGGTTCATCGTAATAAAGCTTTTTCTCGTAAATTTTATCTCAGTAGCAATAAAGCCGTGTATTGCATACACCATGCTCACACGATTTTACACGGACGCAAAGGGCATAAGTCTCAAAACCATTTTCGTTAATTACTGGATTATTAAATGGATAAATGTCAAATGTCCCTTGATAAGTCATTAGTATACCTTATTTTCTATATGTAGTATTAAACTTTATATTACTAACTAAAATAATATTATTATGAATAAATTATAAACCTCAAAACACGTATGATTTAAAAAAAAGTATCGAGGGAAAGTCAACGTATTATGTAAGTGTCGTGATTAATTTACTTTAAAAAGGTTTAATGAAACCTATCTCCAAATTTGGCATTGATCAAACATAGGCACGATTGAAGACATGCGTTCAAAAAACTATGAAATTTTGGAAGCCCAGTCTTGATGCGATTCTGCGTTAATAAGTGCGGTGACTCCCTAGAACGGCGCGCTGCCGAACAAATGCTGACATGCTAGTTCTTCTACGTATAATTCTTTCTCATAGCAATGATTTGTTTAGTGTTATTGACATAATTATAATAACCTGCTTCTAAATTTAAAATAATCTGTTAATGAAGCCCTGAGCTAATTTCTTTTTTGTTTACCTTTTATTTGGACACGAACCAACCTACACCTCGAGTGAAATTGAGTTATGTACGTTATCTGTCCTTATTTGTCCTTTACCTGCTCACATCAAGATCCTGGCAATATACCAATCCAAAACGGAGAAAATAAAAGTCCTTCAGGGTACCAACCCTAAATAAACAACTTTTTAATAGCTAAAAAGAACCATGCTGCTTATTTTCATATAATGTATTTTTTTAAATATACTAAATGGATCTATGCCACATGTACTGAAGTACTGTAGATGTTTAGCATTTTCATTACGAAAACTAGAACATGATTCTCGTTAACGAAATGAAAAGATACATAATGTTTTCTATTTATTGCTATATAGTATAATAGTTTCTCTATATCATTCTCAATGCTACACATAACTCACGTTATTTGTGTCAAATAACTTACCTATTTATTTCTTCACACTGTTTTTGCATAAATCTAATTATCTCGAAAGTAACATCTTGTGGGTTGGTTTTATTTTGCATAACTATGTCCATTTGTTTTAGGTTTATCTAACCCATCACACACGACAATTTTAATTATAATAGTAATTTTTGGATAATGTTGTTGATTGTACGTACTCTTATGTTGGAATTTTTACTATGTTAGAATTAACCTACTTATGTTACAATTAACCAATACTTAATGTAAACATATCCTGTACAATTGTTTATTATCCCTAAAAAATAAAATAAATAAATTTACATCATGCTAATTTCAGTGTGTCAAATGGCTGACTCTCCACGCTTGAATACCGTGCTAACTGATCAATTGCTACACTACGACTAAGTGTGGAGAATGTCTTACTTAGGATAATGAAATTAGTATATTTTAAGTGTGTGGCTTTTATATTGTGTTTTAGGGATCCGCAAACGGTTGTTTCTCAAACGTAGGCTTCAGCACTCCGAAAGACGACGAAGATCAAAACCAGGTTCTAAATTTATCCAAGGGATGCTTCAGACATGGCACCGTGGTTCATGAAATGCTGCACACGCTTGGATTCTACCACATGCAAAGCACATACGATCGGGATGATTTTGTTAACATTATTTGGAAAAATATTCGTCCTGGTGAGATATTATTGTGAATAGTACGTAGATAAGTATAGTTATAAGAAGATATAAATTCAATGTGGTTGCCGCACATAAATTCCATGTAGATAAAAAGTATTTATATAAAAATAATTACCAAAATGGTAAGGGACATCGAGTGTTTCTTGGCTGCGGGACGGGATAAGTTTTTTTTAAAAGGCTGATTAAAACACAGCTGCGTGCTTGAGACACGTGTAACTCTAGACCGCTACAGTACCACAATGGTTAGGGACATCTTATATTTCTAGAACACGTGACAGATTAAGGTGATAAAGTGATGTTTCCATCTGAGACTATCAAGTAAGAATAATGATTGCAGCAACAATTTTAAGTAATGAATTCTTTCTAATGATTCTTGATGGAATCATGTTTTGTTTGATTTCATCAAAAATCTTGATTTTCACTTTTTGTTACGAATAGGAACAACAATTTTTACAATATCAAGTGACGGGACGAACAAGTCGTGCGCCTGATGGTAAGCTACACGCCTGTCCATAACAGTTGCAGTGCCATTTAGCTCTTTAAATCGCGAAGTTCTGAGGCACACCGCCACTGCACCCGTCACCCTGAGACATAAGTTGACAAGTCCCATGTGCCTGTAATTTCACCAGCACCCTTACCCTTTAAAATCGGAACACAGTAATGCTGACATTACTGCTTGGCGGCAGAAATAGATAAGGTGGCAGTAAAGCTCCTTGTGAAAGACACAAGGAGCTTTACTGCTACTAAAAATATATGTAAAAATATATATGCCATGTTATAAATGCAGTGTTTTCTAGAAGCTGCAGTGTCTTCTATAGTACTGCTGTCCGCTCACTAAAACTCGACTATGTGACCAAATAATGTTTGAGATATTATAAAAAATCATACCAACCAGTTTTAGAATATTGAAGTTTTTTTAAAGCTTTTTTATTGAATGTCACGATGTTTGACTACCATGATACTCAATTATTATGTGAAATGGCTCCATTAGTTTGTTATAATTATTGATACAAAGATTACACTTAGAAAAAAATCCTTCGTTCCGACTGGATTCGAACCAACGTCATCCAGCAAACCGTGGCAAACGCTATGCCAACTAAGCCACGGAACGAAGTAGCGGATCTTACGAAATTTTCTATGTGCTTATTGCAGATCGTTGTTTTTGGTTTTTAACAACTTATTTGCCGTAGCGCTATCTGTGAGAAATCTATTTCGTCACTCAGCCAGGTTTCTTTACAGTTACCAGGGACTGACTAGAGATGTCGCTTTAATAATTGTATTTTTTTAAATATTGAAATTGTTTAATTATATTTTAGTTGTGCATCATTAGTTTCGATATGTCGGACACGTTAACGAAGTAACTGTTTTTCAATAGAGAATTTTGAGCTCTATCTTATGTTATTTAAAATAGATATTTGACCATTTGCCACTTAGCCACGTTTTAGATAGTGAACGTCAGGGTAGGTTGATAACAGTAAAACTGAAAAGCTATGTATGTTACATAGCATTTCAGTTTTACTGTTATCATCAGCTCGTTTGCCGAGTTTAGGCAGGATTACAAGTAGCAAAGAGAGAGAAAAGGAAATATTTCGATTGAAACACGGTAAAATTTTCTCAGCACTATTCTTAAAATTTAAACTGCAAATGCACTCATTTTATTTTCCCCAAATATTTTAATAAAAAAATATTAAAACGCCGTGGTAGCCTAACGGTCTGACCTACCGTCTCTGCTGGAGTTCAAAGCCGGCCTCGCACCTCCGAGTTTTCGGAATTTATGTGCGAAATTGAATTTCAAATTTACCATGATCTTTTCGGCGAAGGAAAACATCGTCATGATAACTGCACGTCCAAGAAGGTTCCCAACCTCGGAAATCACCAACCCGTATTGGGTCACCTTGGCGGACCATGGCCTAAAACACTCGCCTGAGAAGAGACCCGTGCCCAGAAATGGGACGTACAAATGGGTTTAAGATGAAATAGTTTAATCACTAAGTGCTGAGAAAAATTTATTCCTACTTTTTCAGCACATGTATATCCTATTTGGGTGAACATTTTCTTTTATTTCAGGTACTGAACACAATTTTGCTAAGTATACCAACGATACGGTTACCGATTTCGGAGTGATATACGATTATAATAGCGTCATGCATTATCCTGAAAATGCTTTCTCTATTAATGGAAACAGAACTATTGTTCCTTTGCAGGTAAGCTTAAATGTGAAGTAGCTTTACTCTAATAACTTCTGAAGAACTTTTAGAGTACTGTTTTATTTGTTACTTTATATATTCATCTTAAATAACCTTGAAACATACAGTCGATGAATTAAGATACCTGTTCATTGTTAGTAGATAGATTAAATAGTACATTATGTATTAAGGGCGGTAAATAAGAAATTACACACCTCGAATCATTAAAACCCGCAGCCCTGACCCCCTAAGACCATTTGGTTCCGAGTAGATAAGCGCGCAGTAAGTACGCAGCTGTAAAATTCATTTTGGTCACTTCCTGATTTTTTTTATGATACCAAGTGATCGGACGAACAGATCGTGCGCCTGGTGGTAAGCGACAAACTTGTCAATAACAGTTGCAGTTACCAGTTAGCCATTTAGAGCTCACAAAATCACAAAGATCTGAGTGGCACTACCACTGCGCCCGTCGCCCTGAGACATAAGTTGTCAAGTCTAATGTGTCTGTAATGTCACTAGCGCCGTTACCCTTCAAAATCGGAACGCAGTAATGGTCACATTACTGCTTGGCGGTAGAAATGGGTAAGGTGGCAGTATATTCCCTGGACGAACTGCTTGCTCTACTGCTACTAAAACTTCTAGATTAATTACTATTATGTATAACTACATTAATAACTAGATTTAATATGATGATAAAACTGTCCATTGTTTGGTTGATTGTATCTACTGACCCGAGGGATAGGGAATTCCGAGGAGACTACGGGCTCTCTGGTAAGCGGTAAGACCAGGGTACGGCGGGCGTCCGGGCTAAGCCCTCCGAACTCTCACAAGGAGCTCTAACGCGGATTACATCATTAGTGAATGACTTTTTAAGCCAATGTGATCGTTAACGTTTATTTAATATAAAGGTGGAATTCCTTTAACAATAGCTATCTTAGGATATCGACTGTATAAGTGCTGCGCGCTCCAATTCGCCACGCTAAGCCAAAGCAGTTTGGAGACGGATTGGAAACTTGACACGTCTTGAACTTTCTCTGACGTTGCAAGTTCATCACTTGTTTTTTATAATTGCTAATACAAATATCGAATACTAAGAAAAAATTCTTCGATCTGGCTGTATTTGAACCAGCGCCTTGAAGCATATTTTACTACGACGATGATCAATTATTTTCTGTGAAAGTAACTAGTGGAGTAAACCACTAGTCATATTGGAATGCTGATAAGCCATAACGTGTCAATCAACATGATTAGGTATAGTTTTGCGAATGTGGCACCTAAAGATATTTTCGTTGTTTTTGATAGTTTATTTTAATTTATTTATAAAATAAAACTTTTGCTTCTTGTACGTCTTGTTCGTCCCGTTACTTTGCATCATAAAAAAAAAACTTCGCTGAGAGAAGCTCGGTTCTGTATTTGGACTTAAGTACACTACATCGTTGACAAAAATGACAAGGCACCAAAAGACGGAAGACAAATCGAGAATCACAGTAAATTAAGTTTTACGCCCACTTATGAGTACAAACATATTTTTGTATAAGTAATACGTAACTACGTAACGTAGTATTTTGATTTATTTGCTAAGCGTTTTGTTGATGTATGGTTTTTTGTAATGGTGCTGACATGTTCAATAAAACCGTAGTAGCCTAATGGTTTTTTTTTGTTAATGCGGGGGTATCTGCTAACGGATGGGGGGTAGAGCCGGGGTTGTGTGGAACTGGGCTGAACCCTGAAGGGGAGCAGCCCGACCGCTCTAAACCCCCGGAGTGTTCCTCCTCTCTGCTGTAGGTGGGAGTACGGTACGCTATTGCACTCGTTCGCGCCCCCACCAGCGGCTGGTCGCACCCTGCGCAGCCCCTCCCCGAGAAGGGAGACACATCGGTCCCCCGCCTCCGAATTTGAGGCTCACCGAACACCAGACGAGCCTTCCATCCCGAGCCCCTCTATGCTGGGCAACGAACTCCCCGAGTCCGCTACCCAGGGGCCAAGGAGGGCCAGGACAGCATCCACTCAACAGTGAAGTTTGGCTGCTCCCCCAGCCTGTGCGGTGGATCTGTTGGCAGGCTCCGCCGCAACACCTGACGCGCATCCGCGCGAACTCTCCGAGGAGAATCCCTTGGAGCGCCCACCGCACGGACCAACCGCCCAAGTTTGGCCGCGGAGGATAGGACGAGCGGCAACGACACACCGACACGTCTCTTCCTCCGTCGCCTCGCCACCACTGCATCATCGTAAGCAGTGTAGCCCCGCCAGTCTCGCGGAGGACAGGACAAGCGGCAACGACACACCGACATGTCTCTCCCTCCGCGACCCTCCTCCCAGCGCGCATCCGTGGTTCCGCTGACCAGACGAGTCCGCGCGGAACACCCTCCTCCTCGGGCCGGCCTACCACCATCGGCCGCCCCCGTGGATTCCTCTCTGCTTCACCGTAGGATGAAATCGACCACGGCTACTAGAGCCCTCCCCGCCACGACAAGGCGGGAGCCCCTTCGAAAGGGCGGCTAATGGTTTGACCTAACGCCTCTCAAGCAGAGGCCGTGGGTTCGAATCCGCGATCGCACCTTAGAGTTTTCAGAATTTATGTGCAAAATTTTATTAGAAATTTACCATGATCTTTTCGGTGAAGGATCGTGATGAAAGCTGCTCGTCGAAGAAGGTTCATAACCCTCTAAAAACGTGTGAAGCCCCCAACCCGCATTGGGCCATCAAGGCGGACTGTGGCTTAAATCCTGAGACCAGTGCCCAGTAGTGGGGCGTATAAAATGGGTTGATGATGGTGTTCAATAATGACCAAATACCCTAAGTAAATGAGTTAAAAGAAAGATTATTGTATTTAACTGATTTCAGGAAGGCGTAAAAATCGGGCAAAGAGACGGATTGTCCGAAGGAGATATAACCAAGTTGAATAAAATGTATTGCGAGGAATCTTACGACGAAGTCGTAATCACTCACCGATAAGAAATAAAAAATGTCACAATGAATTGAAGCTTGTAAAGAACGAAATAAACTTGAATGTGTAAAGTAAATGTAAGCGTTATTTTTATTGAGAGCAAATGGCAAGAGTTGTTTGTTAAGAGAAACTTGACAAACTTGCGGGTTAAGGGAAAGCGAAACAGCCTTCAAGGGAATTAACGTGTTTAACGTGCTTTGTTTGACAACAATTGATGTTGTATTATTTCGGTATAAAAATCAGATGTACAAAGGTCTCTTATTTGGATTTTCTATATCTACGAATCGTTGAAAAATAATTATTTTGTTGTACACTCACACTAGAAAGTTTCTCTTTCAATTGCACTACCTTTTTGCAAAAAAGTTCTACATTTAAAAGTTTTAAATTTTTGTAAACAATTGCAATCAGCATTCAAATTGCCTTAAAGATTCCGAGTCGCATTTTATCATCTTTTTCTGTGCCGTGCTCTCAAACTGAAATGAACCGTCACCTTAGTAATACCACGTAATCCTCACTGGGGAAATTGCCATAGTTTATATCTCTTGACAATGGCATTGAGGAATTTCGGCATCAATAACTCACCAATTTGTATAGAGTTGATCGAACTCTCTCGTAATATTTATTTCCAATTAAACTTAATTGATATCGTTACGATGCGCGACTTGGCTAATTTATATTTAGTTGCGGATTTTAAATAATATTACGGTACATTGTAATATTTGTGCAAGAATAATTAGCTGAAAAATAAAAAACGGTCAAGTGAGACAGAACTTGTGCACGGAGTGTTTCGTATCTTAAGTAACTTTAGTTTTTTTTCCTAATTGCTATTTTCTCAAAAATTATAAATGTTTAGAAAATTTTATTCAACGCAGAAGACTATTTTTAGCAAAGTCTGAATAATTAATCATATGATGTCTCCATTGAACTAAATATTTGCTTCATTTTTTAATTTTGTATTTAATATTTCTAAAATTCCTACGAAAGAGGCGGACAAGTTCCCAAGTCCTACAACTATGCCTAATGTTAAATCGATGACAATAGACATTTCTGAGACAAATAGCTGTGATATAGAAACGGATATTACTTGTATTAATAATATTATTTAAATTTGAATGTTTCTAAATATGGAAATTCGTTGATGGCATTTGAATACTCACTATAATAGTCATTAGTCCTTGAATTTTCCTCACCACAAGGGTTTCTTTTTTACTGTTTGGATACGGTTACCTTAAAAATTATTTCGCTTTTTGTAATTCATCTTCCTAACACCTCACCAAGGTAGACAATGATTTATTATTAAGGCAAGCCTAGACTCATGTGCACTTGTACTGATCACACGTGTACTTCATTTAGTCGCAAAATTTTATATTTTTCGAACGTTAGGTTCAAACGCGCGTAAGAAACTTTTTTAGGCTCTATTTCACTGATCCAATTACAGAAAGAGCAATGGGGTTATTGTTATTTGAATGAAATCAAGATTTGAAATAATAAAAGTAAATCAGACTAAAATGTAGCAATTTCGTCTTGCGCGAGTTATGTAGTGCGGTCCGTTGCTGTCACCTGCGCGGGCGGCTGTCGCAAGCGATGTCCGCGCAGTTGCGGTCCCACACCTTGTGAAATGGTCGTATCAGAGGCTATATTAAATCCCAACTTACCCCGATGGGTTTTGTTCGATAGAAATCGTTCGATGTTAGAGTAAAGGCGCCTCAAATAACTTTGCAAATGTAAAGAATGTCAAGCTAGTACCGTTAATATGGCACACTTCGATAGCGCTGCTGTCGTCAATAGCTAGCAGGAAGTTAATGCATTAAATGTAGTTCAATTTGAACAATTTAATGTTAAACTATTAACATGAAGTGGTTCCAACTGACAGTGTTTTGTTTTATTGTCTGTGTGATGAAGTGCTCTGGTATGTCAAAATCGGAACTCGAAGATTTCGCCGATCATCTAGAGAAGACATCGAAGTTGGATGTTATATTACTAAGTAAGTAAGATAAGGTAGTTACTTTTATTTAAGAAAAATCCTCGAAACATTCGCAATACTATCTAGTGGAAACAAATCTTAAATCGGCAGTGTTAATATTAAAGCAGAGGCGCTTTCTCTAACATAATTATACGTATCGCTAGCCATTGTATGCTTATTAAACACTGATTTAACAGGTGTCATCTCTATCGTTTCAACCGTAAAGTCACGGTGTTACATCTTAAAAAACTTTACGATAATGGCTTATTTAAACTTTTACAACTAAACGAACGTTACGAAGTTCTCAAATCACATAATACATAGGGCGCACTATAAGTTTCCGGAACTGGCCACTTACATAAACAATGTTTAAAAAGTAATTACAACATTTGAAAATGGAACTCTTTGGCTGTAGAATAGTTTGTTTTATCTGATTGTCACTTGTTTTTACATTGTGGCGTCATTTTAGAATTTGGTTGTCAACATCACCATGGATTTAACTGGTGAAAATTTTCGTGGTATGATTTTCTACGACTTTAAGTGTAATTTAACAGCTCAGCAGAGTTTCGCTCGGCTTCAAACTGCTTTTTGGCGATAAAGCACCATGCAAGACGACTATTTATAGCTGGTTTGCAGAATTCAAATGCGGTCGTGTGAATCTCAGTGACGAATTTCGTGATGGTCGCCCGTCCACTGATGTGAACAACAAAAACATCGATGCTGTGCGTCGTAAGATCAAAACAGACAGGCATGTGACATACCATGAGATTCGGGCATATTTAGGCATAGGTATGAGTAAAATACAATCAATACTACACACACATTTGGGTGTGAAAAAGTTGTCCTCGATAGATCCCACACAATTTGACTGAGGCTCAACAAACGGATCGCGTCACTTGGTGCAATGCCATGCTTACCTGATTCAACGAAGGGGCGTCAAATTTGGTGTGGGACATAGTAACAGGTGACGAAACATGAATTTATAGTTACGATCCCAAAACAAAGCAGCAATCGAGCGTATGGGTCTTCCGAGATGAGCCGAAATCAAGCAAAGTGGCGCGCGTGCAAAGTGCTTCTAAGCGGATGATTGCTTCTTTTTTTTAATAAAACTGGACATGTGGCTACTGTTGCTTTGAAGAATCGTTGTACCGTGAATAGTGATTGGTACACGACCATTTGTTTACCGGAAGTTATTGACAAAATCCGTAAAAATAACCCTAAACGCCGTATCATCTCGCCCCACGATAATGCCAGTTCTCACACGGCCAGACAGACAAATGAACTTTTGAAATTGAAAAAAAAAAATGAAATTGAAATTGAATTTTTGAAGGTGAACAATGTTGACCTTATGAGCCAACCCGCGTATAGTTCCGACCTGGCGCCTTGTGACTTTTATTTATTTCCAAAATTTAGAACTAAGATTATTAAAAAATTAAGTACCAGTTACGCGGTCAACGATTTTCATCACCTGAAGAGGCTGTCGAAGAGTATGAAAAATATGTTTCAGAGATTGTCACGGAGGAATGACATAAATGTTTTCAAAATTGGTTCATTCGTAAGAAAAAATGCATTAACGTTAACGGAGAATATTTTGAGAAACAATAAATTAATTTTTGATCATTTATAATATTTTTTTCTTATTCATTCCGGAAACTTATAGTGCGCCTCACGTTACTACCGATTGCGTGATAGTTTTGTCTGTACACCATGTACTTTAATTTTGTACAGGTAATGCGTGCATTTCTATATATTATTTTATAATACCAAGTAACGGGATGAACAAGTTGTGCGCCTGGTATTAAGCGACATGCCTGTCCATAACAGTTGAAGTAGCACTCAGAGTTTTAAATCGCATAGATCTTAGGGGCATTACCACTACACCCGTCACCTTGAGAAGTTGACAAGTCCTACGTGGCTGTAATTTCACCAGCATCCTTACCTTTAGAAACCGGAACGCAGCTTGTTTACATTACTGCTGAAATGCTTACATTACTGCTTCGTGGCAGAAATATGTAAGTATATCCCTGGACGCACTCTTTACCAAGGAACTCGACTGCTACTACTTAATATTAACGATATGAGGTCAAAGCACACATTCGGCTATTTTCGATTGTGATGTATAAATGTGACATATATACTTCATCTCTAGACAATGAAATGATTAGGAGGTGTTTATGTTTAAATTAAATTATTAAAATTAAATTAATTTATTGTAAGGGTAAAAATGGGGTAAAATGATAAAGAAACAAATGATAATATACATATAATGATACGAAAAGTCATTTGGTTTCTTTAGTAGGTATGAAATAAAACAAATAGTCAGTCTATATGTGGTCCCACTGCTGGACACAGACCTTCCTCACAGTGAGAGAGTTTGGGCTATAGTACCCACGCGGGCCGATTGCGAATTAGGAACTTCACACAGATCATTAAATTGCGTTTCAGATGTGTGCAGGTTTCCTCACGATGTTTTCCTTCATCGAAAAGTTCATGGTAAATTTCGCACATAAATTCTAAAAAACTCCGAGTTGCAAGTCCTGATTCGAACCCATGATCAGTGGGTCATGGGCCTCTCAAGCAGTGACTTGAGAGGCGGTAGGTCAAACCGTTAGGCTACCACGGCTATAGTTAGTATTATTACTGCTAAATTTCCAGAAGGCAATCCCGACTACGATTACGACGAAGATGAAAAGTTCTCAGACTATGCTTGGGAGGATAGCGGGAAGTTTGAAGGTGACATCATTTTAAATGACCGGCAAAGAAAATTGCTAGTTGAAGACGTGACAGAGGGTCTCGCCAGGAATGGTCTCCGAGACAGCACTAAGAGATGGCCGAACAATGAAGTCGTCTATTACATTCAGAAAGAACATTTCAGTAAGTATTTATATCATATTATCATTACCTTATCTAATATGTAGGTACTATGATACTGCTGGCATTTCGCGGACTGTGATTTCATTTTACATGTCCCGGAAGAGATTGTGTATCGAGAATTGGGCACTTGTAATTTTTAGCAATGATTTTAAACTATATAGTACACAAAACAGTGCAAATGGCGAACCTAAAGCCATAAGGCATTGTCTACTTGTCAACCAGAGAGCTGGGTTAAGAATAACTAAAAGCCTAGGCGGTGTTTAACATGACAAATTAAGATTAAAAACGGATAGGATCAAATTTATAAACAATTATGATACATAATTTTACACATAAAGATACATGGAATATGGATATTGCATGAGAGAGGTAGCACAAACCGGAAAAACTGAATGACGGTTTAACAAAAAAACATACGACCTAGGGACATTGTCTAAAGTATGTGCTGATTTGTTACACGATAGGATGTACTTTACTCGATCATGTAAAATTCCGAAAACAAGCGAAAATAAAAGTCTAAAACGAATAATATAAGAACAAAATATGTAATTTTGCACATAATTTTTACACGGAGATATTTTTCTTTAAGTACTACAGGGACCGCTAAATTTTGCTTTTCAACTGAAGCCCTATAATTATTAAATTCACATTTATCACAAAATTTGAAAAGCCTTTTACGACTCGACTCACCACCCGCTGCCCCGTCAGCTGCCATCGGGCGCTTGTCGACGATGGATCTGTGTCATATTTTCTCCGCCTATTTTTACTTCGCGAGGGGTCGTGTACCACACCACCCTCTGAAAATGTAAATACTTCTGAAATGCCTCGCTTTAACTCTTAAACGCCTGAACGAATTTTGATATAGAGATAGATGTGACCTACGAGAAGAGGTACGCTACTTTTTGTCATAAAAATTAATCTCGAAGGGGATGAAATAGGGGATGAACGTTTGTATGGAGAACCCTTAGAATAATAACGCATAGAAACCTAGCCCGCACACGCTAAGTGAGGCAAATTGAAGCCCGCCCAATGGGCCTACACGAGCGGGCGGGCCGTCAGTGCTCAAGGTCAACTTGCACCGCGAACAGCTCCAGAATTTTAGCTAAAAATGACGAAATGTGCGGTAAATGAGTGTAAAAATACGTCAGACAAACATAAAATAGATACTAACATCACATTCCACAAGGAAGTAACGCGTTTCAACTTGTATTTTTATATAAATATTTATTAAAACCGAAAATTAAACTACTACTAAAACTAGCCTACATGAATTTGATTTATGCCTCACTTGTGACAGTTCGTTTGATATGAAACTATCATTCTATGTGTTATTATTCTAAGGGAGAACCAATAAAAGTATGAAAATTAGTATAGTACAGTAGGCTATTCGAAGTAAGTCGGTAGGTACCTACTTATTCGCTGCAGACGAAGTTGCGAGTCCTAGTACCTATACACATAGTATGTGACTAACTTTATTCAGTATAAATTTATGTCGTATACGTGCCGTAGTTAAAAATGCTGGTCGAATTTTGCGGCTTTCAAATCGCTTCAATCTTTCAAGAGTTTAAAGAATTGAGAACCCGGCATTCAATCAGGCGCAAAAGAGCTGTAAACATTATTTCGATACATCCAATGAACACAAGACCAACAAAATTTTTGAACCTGTTCTATTTTAATTTTTTTTTGTTTCTTGTTTTCACAAAGCTCGTTTTTCTGTTTTTTTTTCGTATTATTGTTTTTTGTTTCGTTACTTTTTTTCACAAAATTCGGAGAGCGTAATATTAGTAAATAAATAGAGCTGTTCGCAAAATAACAGAAAATGACCAAAAAATAAAAATGGCGTCGTGTTAATTGGACGTATCGATTTGTTCCAAATAGACTATTTACTTAGTGAAATCACTCATCGATTTCACTAAGTAAATCAATTCAGATTCAGATAGTTTGCCAAGGCAAACTTACGAAAAACTAAGTCTAATTGATGACTTCTTGGTCCATTACATTACTACTATTGTGTAAATTTATTTATTTTAGATAGTGACCAAGTGCAAGCTATTATGGGTGGCATAGAAGATCTTGCGCAGGTGTCCTGTATAAAATTTAGACCATACCAAAAAGGAGATCGTGCTGCTGTTGTCATACAGGTATTTGAATTGCATAGATATCGGCAATGATATTAACATACATTCAAGGTAGTGAATATTGAGACAATTATTTGCCGTTAGAGGGCGCAGAGTAGAATAAAATGATTAATTGCTTTAATTATTAATACAAAGATCGAACATAAAGAAAAATTCCTTCGTCCCGACAGGACTCGAACTAGGGTCTACTCTCGTTCTTCGTCCGATATCAGTCAGAAATATTTGATAGTAATTGTTTCGGACGGATGTAGGAGTATTAGGATGTCAGAGAACGAGAGTACAGGCTCTGCGCCCACAGGCCAAAATGTACCTACAAAATACCTTCCCCTTGCTCTTCCAACTAAGCTACAGGTCGAGTTAGAAGGTCGACGAATGTCTTCTGTGTCTGTTAAAGATCTTTGTATTCAGTTTTTCTCTCGATTATCAAAACAGTTATTTTTGATACAAGTGCGGAAAGTTAGTCATTATTCACGAGTCTCGAGACAATTGAAAATGACAAATCCGCACATGTATCAAATGACGTTTTTTAATACATTTGCGAAAAAACTACATTGAAAATAAAATAAAATAGTACCTACTTAAAAAAACTCATTTTATATCTGTCTCATAAAATATAATACAATGGCAACTGTTGCCAGTATTCAGCCACAATATAATTACTTTTTTAGTGGCGCGGCGCGCAGCTACCTTGCTTAATACTCAATCAGCCATCTTTAGGGAAAATATTTTGGTATTTTTAAATGTAACCCATTGTTTTATAAAACACCTATGCAATTTAAACAAATAAGACGTTTATAAGTAAATATAACTTTTAATGACGAATGACTTACGTACAAAACACATAAATATTAAATAAATATACAACCTCTTTAGTTCAATGTTTAAGACTTGAAACAACAGTAAATAAAAAAATAGTTATTTTTGATATAAGTGCGGAAAGTTAGTCATTATTCACGAGTCTCGAGGCTCCTTGGCCCGAGCCAGAGGCGAGGGTCAAGACGCGAGACAAGTGAAAATGACAAATCCTCACGTGTATCAAACGACGTTTTTTAATACATTTGCGAAAAAACTACATTGAAAGTAAAATAAAACAGTATTTAAACAAAACTCATTTTCTGCTAGTAAATTAAAATAATGAAATACAACCACTGCAACCATTAGTTAAAAGTCTATGGAAAACTAGTTCTAACGTGCTGTTTTTGTTTATTTTCTGTAATATCGGTCTGTAACCACTTTTCTTATTATGAAGTCCTGGTACTTTTGTTTAAACTTCTTTAGGAACCCGTGCACGGTAGTGAGATACAATTTATCTGTAATACATAGAACAAATAAATATGTACATAAAGATCTCGCCTGTCGATTCACGTTTTGAGCAACTGCATTAAAAAAGATCTTTTTTTTTCGCACTACAAATCGTGCGGAAAGTTGGATTTCTCGCACTAGTGCTTTTTACTTTTCCAGTTTTTTTTTAATTTACTGTTGTTTTAAGTCTTAAACATAGAACTAAAGAAGTTGTATATTTATTTAATATTTATGTGCTTTGTGACGTAAGTACATAAGTCATTCGTCATTAAAACTTATATTTATTTACAAATACTATATAATGAACGTATCGAGTGGAGGTCCACAGTCTCTGCCTACCCCTGAATGGGTAACAGGCGAGATTTTTATGTATATATTTATTTGTTCTATGTATTACAGATAAATTGTATCTCACTACCGTGCATGGGTTCCTAAAGAAGTTTAAACAAAAGTACCAGGACTTCATAATAAGAAACAGCACGTTAGAACTAGATTTCCATAGACTTTTAACTAATGGTTGCAGTGGTTGTATTTCATTATTTTAATTTACTAGCAGAAAATGAGTTTTGTTTAAATACTGTTTTATTTTACTTTCAATGTAGTTTTTTCGCAAATGTATTAAAAAACGTCGTTTGATACACGTGCGGATTTGTCATTTTCACTTGTCTCGCGTCTTGACCCTCGCCTCTGGCTCGGGCCAAGAAGCCTCGAGACTCGTGAATAATGACTAACTTTCCGCACTTATATCAAAAATAACTATTTCTTAGTATTAATAATTATAGCAAACTAGTGGAGTTCTTTCACAAAAAATATATGAACTGCCATGCTGGACTGCCACGCAGAAGTCCCGAGTTCGATTCGCGGGCTGGGAGAAATATTTGTATGGCCTACATTTATTTCTCTCGTGGGTTTGGGCGTAATTTGTTGTCTATGTGTGTGTCCATGGCACCAGTGGTACAGGTGTCCTTAAAGCGGAGCTATGAGTGGATGCTATAAAAAAAAATTAATTAAGTATCATGAGAAATGTGCAAGCGTATAATATTAAGCTTCAGAATTTTTGGGCATCTATGAATGCGCCATTATTTTGTTAATAAAGATGCTCTATGCACATATTATCTTGAAATTAGGTAAGGCTCATGTAAGGCCGGATCCACACTTAGGTACATTGGGACGCGTAAAGTCAGTGATATTCGTCAGAGATCTGATACGCCAAAATTCCATAAATTACGTAGCATTATTTATGTAATTAACATTGACAATCACAATATCACAGGGCAGCAGACGTGGATGTTTCTCCCAAGTAGGCTACCAAGGCGGGTACCAAGTGTTAAACCTTTCCCGTCGTCACCCCGTTGGCCGAGGCTGCTTTCGACATGGAACTGTGGTCCATGAGCTGCTGCACAGTCTTGGCTTCTACCACATGCAGAGCAGCCCTGACAGAGATGACTATATCAATGTGTTGTGGGAAAATATTATTGAACGTGAGTATTCAAACTTTTTGGAAATATTATTTTTTGAATTTTGCTTGTTTTTTTTTTGTTTTTTTCTCTATGCAGAAGTCTCTATGACTATGCACGGTCAGCGTGGTAACGAAAACTGTGTGTTTTTGTAAGAAGGCTATTAATAACGTAGTAACGTACTACGACTTTATATATATTTATGTATAAACAGCAACAGCAGGTTACAGCTACAAATTTGTCAAAATTCATTGTTTATAATTGTACCTATCGGTATGCATATAACTTAAAGTTTTATTTAAAATATGGATAACAGTAGATGTAGATAGGTACTCATAAGTACTAGTTATTGGTCGATGTATGTACTACAGAACAACAAAAATATTTATAATAAAAAGTAAAAAATTACGTCTCAATAATCAATCCTTATTAATACAAGTAAGCTCACGAGACAGCACGTGCTGACGTTAGGTACCTATCATACCTAATCCTCAAGAGCAAATGTGAATACAAATCAGATTTTTGCGCTATACGTAATGACAAAATCTCGCATTCCAAGCGAGTTGGCCATGTCATAGCTAAACTTCTAATCATATGGATTAGAAAAATCTGTTTATGAATGTAATTAGAATTGTTATTAGAAATTATATCGACACTGGAAATGTAAAACGTTTAACGTGCATTTGAAAAATATTACTGGAGGATTTTTTAAGAAAAAACGTTTCCGCTTTTCCTTAGAACAAATGAAATTAGAGTTATGATTTTATTTTCTGCACGCACGCAATGCACGTTAGACGTTTTACATTTCCAGGGTCGATATTGTCCTCGAGATTTACAACGTACGTATCTGTATTATAGGCTTGCGATCTGGAACTTGACTTCATTTTGTTTATATTATATTCAGCGGCAAGACACAACTTCCGTAAATACAACTCGTTCTCGGTGTCGGACTTCGGCGTGGGCTACGACTATGACAGCGTTCTGCATTACAGTCGCCGCGCTTTCTCTGTCAATGGAAAGGACACACTTGTTCCTAAACAGGTGACCCCTAGATTGAGTTACAAATTAACGCACGGAATTAATAACGTATTGTGCCAGTCGATCACACCAATTATCTGGTCTCAAAGCATGCGATGTGTACCAGAGTAATGGAATTCACTCTGGCGGTTAGATTGCTTTTTATCTACAATTAGTAATTTAGTCCTACATTTAGAGCGAATCGCTGCTTACCTTACATATTATTTACATATTCCATTGTGTTTCAGAGCGGGGTCTCTATCGGGCAAAGAAGTGGTCTGTCAGACAAGGACGCCAAAAAACTGAACAAAATGTATTGCGATGCTGATTCCAGTGATATTCGCTCAGCCGATGAAAATGAAAAACAAAAATCAACAAAGGAGAAAGAAAGTGAAAAGCCTAAAAGCATGCCTTTTCAGGGCCATGGAATAGGATACCATCAAGGTAAAACTGTGGCTATAAAAGTGAACCCTGAACCTAAAACTTATAAAATAACAAGCACCATACCAAGATATCATGTTTTTGATCATTTTAGTACACCGCCACCAGCCTTGTCGCCAAAAACCTTTTTTGAAGAAACTGGAACTGCCAAAGAAATAAATTATGACTACGCAACACCGAATTATAAAACTGACTTCTCGTCGTACGATAATAACAATAATACAGGAGAAAAACCAACCAATTATATTAACAATAACCTAGATAAGCCTCTTAATAGTCCAACACTCAACAACGATGTTAAAACTAATAACAAAACACAAACAGAAAGCTCTGATATATCTAATGAAGAAGAAGAAGAAGAAGAAGAAGAAGAAGAAGAAGAAGAAGAAGAAGATAATACTACTGAAGTTGTTGACACAGTTAATGACGCTATTGACAGACTGGTAAAAATAATGCCGCCGACAACATTTTTTGAAGAAACTGGAACTGCCAAAGAAATAAACTATGAGTACACAACACCTAATTATAACACTGAGTTCTCGTCGTACGATAATAACAATTCTACAGGAGAAAAATCAACCAATTATATTAACAATGACCTAAATAAGCCACTTAATAGCCCAACACCCAACAACGATGTTAAAACGAATGAAAAAAAAATTCAAATAGAAAATTTGGATGAATCTAATGAAGAAGAAGAAGATAATGCTACTGAAGTTGTTGACACAGTTAACGAAGCTATTGACAGACTGGGAAAAATAATCAAAACTCATGTATATCCATCACAAACACCTGATTTGGATGTTTATAAGATTAAACCATATGATTCTGAAATCGTTGCTCCGATGACAAAACATGAACCAGATTCCGAAATAGCAGAAGTGGATAAAGTTTTTAGTACAAAACCGTCATTCCTTAAATCAGTTGCCCCTGAACCAAATATCGATATAAAAGCCTCATCACCTGATGAAGAACTGAACCTAAAAATTGAAAAAGAAAATAAATCAGATATACAATACAAAAATAAAATAAATTTCCCGAATTATGATAAAGATACTTCGGATTTCTCTGATTATAACAAAGACACGTATAAAAAAAAACGTATTTCAAGTTCTCCAAATCATAAAGAAGAACAAGAACAATTGCCAAAGCAGGAATACAGCATCTATAAATACGGATATCCGTTGTTTATGAATTATTTACGTTATAAACCGCAACCGTATTACAACGACAAATTATATTCGAAAAAGATAGATTTTCCGTACAAATCCAATTCAGGGTTGTATAATAAATTCAATGACAGTGACGAAAATGATTTCGAAAATATATATACAGGTAGTATAGAGTTTGAAGATGTGACAAAAGACAATCAGAAGGAAGAAATTGAAACTGTTGAGGAACCGACTTCTGAAGAAGTAGAATCATCCGACAGGACGACGTACCCGCAGCATATACTAAATAAAGTAAAAGAGGAGGTAATCGAGACGCCACATTTCGATACTTTGAAGTCGTTAGAATATCCTGAAAATGAGGATGCTAATTTTACAAAAAGCGACGTAGAGTTATTGGGGCATACAGTACCGCTGCAAAATAAATGGTACAAAGAAGAAGAAAATGAAAACGTCAATAATAAATACAACAACACATCTTACACACAATCGGTGCCGAATGAAGAAAAAGATAGTTTATTACAAAGGCTACAATTAATTGCAGACCATAAAACGATTGAAATTCTTGGTAAGTTACCTGGTGACAAAGACGTCTATCATTTATTTGGAGTACTTGTTCCAGTAAAACGAGAAGGTGCTTTTTCAATACAACAAAAATCGAGCAAAGATAATACGTAACCATTTGTCTACCATACCAAGCTAAAAATGTGCTATTCTAATAAAATAATGCATTATTATAATGTAAAGTCATAATAATAAATAGTTATATAAGATTAGTTTATGTACACAATTCAATAATTATTATCGATGTCAAATTATAAGCTTGAATAATTACGAACTTGTTTGTAATTTTTGAAGACTATGATATTATTTTGTACTTAATTGTGATTTTTGTTAAATAAATAAATCAAGTTTATTATTATATTTATTTTATATTTTTATATAATTTATTTATATTATTATTTAATATTATTAATTAAATTTTTATTTAATGGTTAACCACTTCCTTACATTTATCCTTTCTATCCATTGACTGACCGCGCGTCGTCGATGTTCTGGTATGGTAGGAATTTACAATAAGCAAAATGGTCACATTTTCAAGTGTCACATATCAATGACAATGCCAAAGTCAAATTTGTCAACACAAGAGATTAGATCGTCAATAATTTTTATAGTTGCGGATAAAGATAATAATGTAATTTTAAATTCAGTTTTTGTAGAAACTACTACGTGGATAGTGGTTCTAACGTCTGCGTTGTCTTCTACATCATAAACAAGTGTTAGAAATGATTTTCCGACACCGGTGACAGCGGGAGAACTAGTAAAAGTATCGGTAACATTTTGGTTGATTTTTTTAAGTTTTGCACTTAATTTCATGGGTTGTGCTGTATCATGCGTGCACCAAACAACGATGGCGTTGTTTGGTAAGCATTCCAACCCATCCAACAGCGACCAAGACGCTCGAGTTAAATTAGAAAGGAAGTTATACTTGGCTAAAGAATCCCCGGAATCTGACTTCGATTTGTCCGATTGTCAACTCCAAAAATTACCCTCCGGCATTTTCTGTATCTGTAAAGTGTATAGAAAAGAACATTTATTTTTAAACGAAAATTATCTGCGCTCTTTAGACGATGGAGGGCAGTTATCTGATTTATATCTTCTTAAGGTTTTAAACTTAAGCTATAATAAATTCTCTCGTTTGCCCAGTGATATTAAATATTTAGTGAATTTGACAGAATTCTATGTACAAAACAACCAGCTCAAGTATATACCTGAAGAAATACAGTATTTACAGAATCTGCAGATTTTGGATGTATCTAAAAATAGACTAAAAAAATTGACTCCATCACTCGGTAAACTGAAAAATTTGAGGAGATTAAATATTACTACCAATGAAGAATTAAATGAATTGTGCCCTGAAATATGTCATGCAACTAACTTGATATCAATTGAGTTGGATTGTGAAAAATATGTGTATCCCCCACCAGAGGTTATTGCAAAGACCACTGCTGAAATAATGCAGTTTTTATGCAACAAATTGAATATTGAATATGTTGCACCCTCAGGCGATCTTGAAGTTTTTATGATTCAGAGTCCAACATGTTCCACAAATGATCCATTTGTAAGACAACCTACAATTACTTGGGAGGAGCAAGAGGCTGCTATTACAGAGCAAGAAAATAAAATGCATGAAGCAGCTAAAGAAAGAAGAGAGAAATTTCTAACAACCGTGATACATGACCAACTTGTCCTAGATACGGAGATATTAAAAGTTCAGGAAGCCCGAGAAACAGAGAGGCAGAAATTGCTCAAAGCTATTCAAGTAGATGAAATTGAAATTGCTTGTTTGGTTGCTAATTTTATTGAATCTGAAAGATTGAACCCAGAAATAGTACAGCAGCAGCTAGCCCATGAACAAGCTGAACATGATAGGCTTCTTGAAATTACGCGACAAAACTATGACAATCTGAGAAAGGCAGAAGTGATGAAGGCAATGGAATCATTGATCAAAGAAGATTATTACATTCAACATTCTATGAAGAATTATGAGAATTCTAACAAAGACTTAAAGCAAAATGTGTTGATGGAGGAACTGGAGGGCATGGATAAATTACAAGAATTTATAAAAACCAAAGATGAATCACGCTCAGTTTTAGTGGGCCAGCTTTTAGAAGATCATGATGTTCAGAAAGCAGTAGTTGCATCATTAGTTGAACGAACAGATGCAAGAAGCTGGAGTTTAAACCAAGAAATTGCTTTAATTTCTTCACATTTAGCTAAACTTAGTATAATAGAACAAGAAAAGAAAAAACTACAACTTACATACAATTACAATGAATTGTTACACCAGAGAACACAGCTAGTGACATTGCTTGATGACCTTTTGGATCAACAAAGCATTAGAAGGAAACAGCTCATAGATACACTTAAGGAAATGGAGCAAAATGATGCTGATAAAACAACAGATTTTTGGTTGAGAAACTACCAGAAATTACTTGATTCTGCACCAAAATCTTTACTGAATATGGGAAAGCAGTTGGATCCTCAATTTGCGATTTATCTTTTGCAAGAAGGTGTCATACATTGTCTACCATTTCTAGTAAAGTTCTTGTTTTCCGAAAATGTATCTTTGTTAAATTTAACTTCGAAACAATTGAAAGAAAGTGGAGTAACTTTGGCAAGTGATAGGGAGGGCATCCTGAGAGCTATAAACTGTTATGTGGGGTCCAAAACTCAACAGAGCTTTGACCCACCTCAGAAGCAGGAAGCACCTTCATTACCTGTGCAAACATCTTCTGAAGAACAATTGTGTACTGGTGTAGTGAGTTCTACAGATGTAGAAAGTTTAACAATGCAAACTGAATGTGTTATTTGCATGGACGAGAAATGTGAAGTTGTATTCATACCTTGCGGGCACATGTGTTGTTGTCAGGAATGTGCCAATAAAGAACTTGACAGTTGTCCTATGTGTCGGGGTAGCATTGAAAGAAAAATCAAAGTTGTGGTTGCGTGATCTTCATGGTGAAGTGGATTCTATGTTTATGTGACTTTTAAGTATTCCACACAATTCAATGAAATATCTTATGAATGCCAATAATACTTATTGCATGTGCAATAAAGGTTGTAATTAGTTATTGGAACATCTTTAATGCAATATTTATCACATTAAATGTAAAATGGTAGATTTTATTTCAGATCTAGTTTCAATACTGGGTTAGAATGGAAAAGCATTTATATTACTCATTAATATTGTATTGTTTTTGTAAGATACAAGCAATATTGCTATAGATATTACGCTTCAGATAATAACATTATATACAAACTAAAATGCTATGTTGAATGTACACTTATTATTAACCGACTTCAAAAAAGGAGGAGGTTCTCAATTCGATTGTACGTTTTTTTTTGGATGTATGTTACGCGATACCTCCGGTATTTGCGAACCGATTTTCATGATTCTTTTTTGTTGGAAAGGGGTACTTCCATAGTGGCCTCATTTCATTTTGAAGGAAATCAACCACCCCTAAGGGTGGCTGTTCACGCATGAAGATTCATTGCGCCAAAATTTTCTTAAGGAGCAATTATTTTAATGGTTGATTTTGCTATTTCTCCAATTCAAGGCGTTTTTCTCGCAAAATTCTTTGAGTAATGAGAACCGATTTTTATTATCTCCAGTGTCAAGTCCTGTATAGTGGCGAATTTAAGGATATTTCAATAAAACTTAGCAAATAGACGTAATTCCACGTACTTTTGAGGTCGGTTTTTTTAGTACTCTGTACTGAGATTATTTGAAAGAACCTTTTTCCTTAGAATTACTTTTATAATAAACAACTGTTTTAAATTACACTGATATGCCTATATAAATGCCACAAATATTGTTATCGAAAGCAATTCAAGAAACAGTGTTCAGATGTACATAGATATAACAAACCACTTATCAAAGTATGATAAGTGATAAACATATTATACTTCGGGAAATTACCTGACTGTTGCAAAAATTATTATTAGCTTTATACAGGTCTAATTCAAGATAGCTCTGGATTGGAAACAATAGAAATTGACAATTTTGACAAATTAACAGAGGTCACATGATTATGGAAATACCAGTTTGCGCACAGTATTCTTATTGTGTGACTATTTGAAAATAACTTTTCAAAATAACGTTTAGAGGTGCGTCCAGATCTGGCGAATGCACCGCAATTGCGCCTGTACGAAATACGAAAGGCTCGCCAGCTGTGCACGTATCGCACATGCAGCGCGTTCGCGGCGCATTCGCCAGATCTGTACGCGCACTAGTACGAAATTGTATTCAATGTGGAATTATATTTCATGAACACGCAATAATCCCCACTCGACAGTCACGTAGTGCAAAAATGAGGACGGTTTAATGGATTAGTCTGTGAATGTGACATAGCTATAAATTAATTCATACAATTCCACGTACATAAATATTTTAAACCTTTGTTTCAATACAAAATGGTCACTTTATTACGCTTAACACTTTTATCAAAGACTGCTTCTCCTTTTTAAAATAAAACATTTTGATTATGACCAATTATTAAAGAAAGTAGAAATACTAATGATTATAACAGTTTTGTTATGTATAATATACTAAAGTTAGTAGTTGTCTTTCTGCATTATTAATAAAAATGTGTCAATCTAAAAGATTGTGCCTTCATGTTCAGTCGTGGGCCCATAATAGATGTGTTTATAAAACTGAATTAAAGTAGTGCTTTAAATTGATGACGTGAGCAACTCTATTATTGGCCCGCGATATCTTTGTACGCATTGTTACGCTATCTATACTATTTGGACTATTATGTGTGGTTTGTAATGTATCCTTATATTTTGTCGAGTAATTCAAAACCTGGATATATATACATCATCAATCTATATTACAGGTTTAATAGGTACGTTTACTCTTTGACATGTATAAATGGGTACGTATGTTATCTCGACACAAGTGAATTTGTAAAGAAAAACATTTAAGTATAAGTTGAACTTGACAGAACCGTGTAGAATTTAGGGCAAAGTCAAAGTGCTTGATTTTGTCCTTAATTTTGTAAATCTTGAAGAAAAATTCTTAATTCTTAAATATTGCCTTAAAACCTCTCATTAGAGGAATCGTGTGCCTAACTGTGGGATTCATATGAGTAAACACAGTACAGTGAACTAGTGAAGTTAGAGCTTGTTCTAATAAATGTGTTGATTCGCTTAAACGCAAACTGTACTTAATGGTAATTGCATCTTTCTTCCATTAAGACAGAAGACTTGTTTTTAGCAGACGTGAGTTTAGTAGAGGCAAAACTGCAGAGCCTTGAACGCTGCCGTCAAGTTGCCTGCTTATCGGTAATCTACAGGATATATCACAGATAACGTGGGATGGAATAGTCACGATTCAATTCCGCCTTCCCATTTCCATCGCCGGGGAGCTAGATCTAGGCTTGGGTTCCACCTCTATGTTGTAGATATTCCAAGGATTCGCACGAAGCGTTACGCTTGCACATTTATACAGTGAATGGCTATATGGAGTGGAATTCCCTGCCTGCAGACTCGTTCTCTGAACGTTGGCCTTTTCAAAGACAAAATAGGAATTGATTAGGTATGCATGTTCGATCGTCGATCTCATCATCGCTGCGATCAGGTGAGGTGAAGGTCAAATGCGCATTTATATTTTATTAAAAAAGTTACGAGCTGTAAAATTTAAAACATTGAATATCAAATAAGTTTAGTTTGCGATTGTGCAAATCAACCCCAGTGTATTAAATTTTAATTGTTAAGTAATATAGTGGTTTTATATAACCTACTGTCCCTTTAATGTGAGGTTAAACTATAATCTAAATTCCCATATTCTAAGGCCTCATTAATTATGAAACCGCCGGCGCGGGCTTCCGCCTGGGCTGCGTTCATAAGGCGCTATACGCCGCACCTACTTATTCATTGTAGATGTGTTCACGCGATTCCATACAAGTGTATGATATTGCTTCGCCGAACCCTCGCCCGTGCCTGCGCGTTCATATGGGGCAGCAGTCGAAATGCTGTTTATACCCGGACGTAAGTCTGCAAACTTGCATGGTCAACTTGACACGTACTTGTTATTGGGTGTGCGTGTAGGTAATTTTGCAGCCTAACGTACTTAATTTCTTAATAAATTCAATCTACTGTTTCCAAATTCATATTTAGGTAGGTAATAAGGCTGTGATTGATATAGTTCTTTACGATTTAGTTGTTTAATTTGAATTTTTGTATTTAATTGTTAATACTCAATAAGTATTAGAATAATCTTTGATTCTACGTCAATAAAATGTATTGTTGTAACCACGGTAACTTAGGACAAGGAACAACTTAGTTGAAAAATGTTTAAGATACAGAGATATTTTTTCTTCGGATCTAAATCGCGTATATTTGTTTTTTCAAACTAGCCAACGTTAGGTCCCATGCTCACGGCTGACTGATTTGGTAAAATCATCAATCAGTTATGACTAATATTAATGCAAAACCACTTTTTTTTCACTATAGTGACAATTATTAATTAAATACTTTATTTTTAAATTTTCCCAGGAAACATTCCAGTTTACGCTACTTTTTTAATTTAGCTTTGAAAATTTCTCGTTAAATTAAATTTTATTATTAACAAATATAGATAATTAGAATAAATTATTAATTAGTTCTTCAGTCTTATGTCTAATTCGCTTCGTTTGTCCATTCATATTTCTACCCGAGTCAAAGAACATAATAACATAGCTGATGTTAAGTAAGTCTGCAGTCTACGAGCATGTAATGGTTAAACTTACACACTCAATAAAGTTCGACAAACCCCAGGTCCTTGCAAAAGAAGTCTGTTGTGTAGACAGCCTGGGTAGCCAGGATGCTGCGAGAGGCCATTGAAATGAAAAACATCCTAATTTCGACAGGGAATATGGTTTCTCCGTACCACCAGTTTGTGATCCAGTATTTCCTGTGATGAAAACTCCCATGCAGATATAAGGCTGCAGTACTAATTAATAAGTTTTAATTTATTCATTAATAGTAAAATTTAATGCAAAAAAAAAATGTTTTCACAACAAAATAATTTCGTCACTGGAAAGCGATAATGCTGTAACACTCAAAAACTCAATTTTTCATTGGAGCCAAAATAAAAATTACAAAAACAAAAAAGTCATAACGCTGAAACGGTTCGTTTTTTGTGCCAAATGTAGCAAATAAGCCTATAAAAAAATACTTTGGTCACTATGAGTAGGTACAATGAAACAAATCGAATTATAATATTGGAGATTTAACACAATAAAACAAAATCATTGACATTTTGTGTGCCATATTACATCGTTCTTAGAACTGATGAATTATAAATTCCATAAAATAATAATAATCAACAACTAATCTTCTCTTGATTATTAGTTTTCATTTTCTGTTCTTATATTTTCTATTTTAGTTTATTGCCTGGTACCTACGAGGAAAAAGATTAACTACATGTTAAAGATTTACAATTAGTATAAATTCAATAATAATTAAACCAACCCTATTCCTCGTAGGCACTAACTAGGTAATGATCGAAAATAGTAAAAATATAGAAACATTTTATCATGATTATAATTTAAATTAAAACCAAACTATATTCATCCATTAAGGACACATCAAAATTTAAAAAAATGTATTAAAATGAAATCTTGTATTCTATTCTATTTTATAAATTCCATGAACTGCAACTCGGTTGTACATTACTGATATTTTCGGGTGGTAACTGATCTGGTAAAAGGTTAGGTCCAGGAACTTCAACCAGCTTCTGCATTATTGATCTTTTTGAAAGTACATGTTTTCTATGATCATTTCAGTAGATACTTTTAATAAATTTTTCTCAGGGTTTCTAAACGTGGGCGTCAGATCATAAACTTTTGTAGAGACTAGCTTTGAGTTTGGCGTATTGCATATCTTTTGGTAACATGTCGCGGAGCTTCTTGATGCAGTTTGAGGCACTGAATCTGGTTAAATTATTCTCGGCGGAAGATTGTTGCA